ACCCTACCCTGGTACACACCCCTAACCCTAATATAGGGCTGAAGTTCCACCGAAAGCAAGGCGATTTTGAAAAAGCGTTCCTTGCGTAGCTTTTTTTGCACTGCTCATCATCTCTGCCCATCCGAAACACATTCCAACCATCAAAACCATGCCAGGACACCTAGTTTTCCTAACCCTAACCCTACCCTGGTACACACCCCTAATGCTAATATAGGGCTCAAGTTCAACTGAAAGCAAGGCGATTTTGAAAAAGCGTTCCTTGAGTAGCTTTTTCCGCACTGCTCATCATCTCTGCCCATCCTAAGCACATTCCAAGCATCAAAACCATGCCAGGACACCTAGTTTTTCTAATCCTAACCCTAGCCTGGTGCACACCCCTAACCCTAATATATGGCTGAAGTGCCACCGAAAGTAAGGCGATTTTGAAAAAGCCTACCTTGAGTAGCTTTTTCTGCACTGCTCATCATCTCTGCCCATCCGAAACACGTTCCAACCATCAGAACCATGCCTGGACACCTAGTTTTCCTAACCCTAACCCTACCCTGGTGCACACCCCTAACCCTGATATAGGGCTAAAGTTCCACTGAAAGGAAGGCGATTTTGAAAAAGCCTTCCTTTAGCAGCTTTTTCTGCGCAGCTCATCATGGCTGCCCATCCTAAACACATTCCTGCCATCAAAAACCTACCCCGTTTTTCTATCCCTAATCCAGTCATGGTGAACCTTTGAGACTGAGTGCCCAGACTGCAACCCAAACCCACTTACTTATCGCAAAGTGCCAACACTGCAATAAAACCTGAAGACTGAGGTTTTAGTTTAGAAAAAACAACTCACAGCCTGTCCGAGCATTTATATATATCCTTTGCAGGGCACTGACCAACCATGCTAATGCTTGGACGAGTGGTGGCGAATGGGTCGCAGCTGGTCACGTCATCTCCTGGCACCACAACTCCTTTCAGAGCATGCGCATGGCCCCTATGTGCACTGTTATCCGATGCTCGGCTGCTGGTGTGATGCTGGCGTGACTTGGCTCATGTGCCAACAGAGGACTCTGTGTGCCCGCTGTGGCTTTCATGCTATAGGTTCGCCACCCCTGCACCGGAATATCAAAGAAATCTGCATTTCCCCACTATATTAAGGAAGTTGCTCTAGGAGAAGATGTCTGGAAGAAACTGGATGGAGCAAAGTCTCTGGCTCAGCTCTCCCTCCTCGGGGTTCTTTCTTTTTAAACCAGCTTTGGACCACTCAGCCCTTCAAGTCAAGGACACTTTTGCATGCTGTTTTCTGAGAGCAATTCAAATAAGAGGACTGCACTGTAGCCAGTTCACTGCTGCAAAGTGTTCAGAAATCGGAGAGTACAGGATTGAGTACAGGAGCTGCAGAACCCACATCCTGCTGTTGGTGCGCACGGCCCAGTGAGAACCTTTACACGCAGAAGGGCTCTTCCAACTGCAGTCCCTGCTTGGCTCTGTGGCAAGCAAGTGCACAGGCAGCCAGATGGAACCACCATGCCTGGAAGTGGTGAATCCCAAGAGTCTGGGGGCAGGGGAACTCTGGCAACTCCTTTCATGTCTTGCTTATGGGCTGTCCGGAAACATTGGGTTGTCCACAGCTGGAAACATGATACAGGGGCAATGTGTGCACTTGCAACCTGAGCCTGCAAGGGTTCTGTCCCAGGGGGCATGTCCCCCACGCTGGGAGAAATACTTCTTCTGGTGCTTTGTGCCCAAGCAAAGACAAAGGCCCTGTTACTGCCACCTGCTGACAACAAAAGAATCAAGCCAGCCTGGATTTACAAAATCTCAACTACATTACAGACCTTTAAAAATTTCCAAAGAAGAGACATCACCAGAAAACCAAAGAGCTCCCAAGTTACTAGAAGGAACTTCCTTGGAGCAAGAATTCACAAAAGGGAATCCACTCTTCCACATACTGCAGACAATCCCAAATTAAATGATTAATAGTCTCTTGTACTGCACACATCTCTGAGTCTACCCGGCCAATCCCGAAAAGGTGCAAACAGCACCGTGGCAAGGCAACATTAATAAGCAACCCTGTCACACTCTACCTGGCTCATTAAAAACCTGAAAATCGCCCTAAAGCAAAAACTTGCCGAGCAGCGCCACCATTTCTTACTCATTTCCCTCTGGGAAAGGGGCAAAGGATTATTAACAAACGAATGGTGTCAAGCATGTTTTACAGAAAAATCAGAAGAGTCCTTACCCACAAAACCGGCACGAGCGGGCTTGTCGCGGTAGCAGCAGCTGCAGCGCTGCCGCCGACCCAGGCAGAACATCGGGCTGCGGAAGACGCGAAGCGGGATCCCTCTGTGACGTAGCGGATGACGCGCCGCCCGCTGTCGCGACGCCATTGGCCGCTTCCCCACCTCAGGGGCGTCTGGTCACACGCCGTGCCGCCAACGTAAGCCAGCCAATTGGGAAGAGCGACCCTGCCCGGCGAGGGGCCAGGCGAGCGTGAGGTCGTGTGAACGCGTGTCTTTCGTTTTCCCCGCCCAGCTCAGGGCACGTTGAAGCCTCGAGTTCTCCCTAAAGACACAGGGGGGGGGGGAGAGACGGCGCGCATGAGCGCCACGCAGTACCTGAGCGTCGAAAGCCGAGCCCTGCGCGCCGCTCTAGGCCCTGGCCCGCCACGGCCCGGCGAAGGCCTCTGCTTGCCATGGCCGTGGCCACGGTTTCCACGGCCGGGCGCCGAGAGCGGGGGCCGCCCTGGGCACAGCCCCTTGCACGACCGCAGCCCCCGAGGAGGAAGCCCCGCCTCCGCCTCCCGCCGCCGCAGGCCGGGAATGCCCGTCTCCATGGCGACCGCGCCGCCGCGCGCGGCTCCCCGCTCCGCCTCTTCCTCCTCCTCCTTCCTCCCCTCCCGCCCGCGCCGATGGGGGGAGGAGCAGGATGCGGCTCGTCACTTCCGACTGCGGGCCCTTCCCGGCCGCCATCTTGCGGTGTGGGGGGAAGCGGGGGGCCCGGGGGCCGCGGCGGGCCGCTCGATGGGAAGATGCAGCGCTCGGGGCCGGGCGGGGCGGGGCCTGGCGCCGTGCTGGGGGCGGGGCCGGGGCGCGCGCTGCTGAGGCGGGAGCTGCGGCTGCTCGAGTCCATCTTCCACCGCGGCCACGAGCGCTTCCGCATCGCCCGCGCCTGCCCGGACGAGTTGGGCTGCGAGTTCCTGCCCGGCCCGGGCGGCGGCGGACCCGTCCGTATTCATGGGAACATCACGGTGAGGCGCCGCCGGGCGCGGTCCGCGGGGACGGGGAGGAAGGGGCTCTTGTAATTGGCCGGGAGCCCCCTCACTCTCGGGGCGCGGGGCGGGGCTTAACGGGGAGTGGAATGGTGGAGCGGGAGGGGCATACGGCCGGGGGCGGGGCCTGCGAGGTCGAGGGCCTGGGTGAGTGTCAAGGTAGAATGGGGGCGCTGAGCCAGTGGGGGAGCCTAGCGATGTGGCTTGTACTACCCCTCCCATCCTCCTGCCCCACTGTCCCCGCTGGGGTGTGTGGCAAGAGCTGGAGTGCGATGACCTCTGGGGGGCCCAGCAGTCTCCTCCCTGACCTGCCAGGCAGAGCCAGAGCGGGCCAAGGGAGTGTGGGCGGTGAGGACGACGAGGGGGCTGCGTTGCTCTTCCCTGCTCCGGCCTCCTCCTCCTCTGCTGCCTGAGGCTCGTTTGCCCACCGTCCTCCAGCCGGACATGTTGTGCGGAGAGGCTGGAGCTTCTAGCGCCACAGCCCTGGCTGCCACTGGGTAGGAAAATGCTGCTTGAGGCCAGGGCTGGGCTACTGATGTGGCCTCCTAGACACGTTGGCTTCTGGCTTCTAGAAAGGTGAAGCTTTGGCAATCGGGAAGGAAAACCCTGCTAAAGTATTCCAACATGTCAAGGGTCCTCACATCGCTGAAGGCTCTTACCCTTCTTGACCACCGGGCACACCGGCTTCGGGGGGAGGAGACCCGCTAGCCAACCATCTGGTAGACCAGAGTTAGCAGCCATTGGTCCATTCTATATGCATTTACTCAGCTTATATTCCACAGTTATATTAGTCCCAAGAACTCTCACAGTGGATCACACAAGTCAGAGCTCCCACTTGCTTCCCAGCAGCATGAATAAGACTGTTGCAGCAGACCTGTGTGCCCCAAACACCTGTATGGGGCCACGGGGGAAAGAGATCTTCCCAGTTGAGAGAATCCAGTTGGCACCTTTCAGATTTAGCAGGCAGTATCTCCTGCTTATCCCCCCTTCTTGGGAGGCTGGCTGAATTGGCCTCATTGCTTTGGGTACTGCATCATTTAGTATTTTGCCTGTCTGGTCTGGGCTGCCGGAAGAGGCTGGAAAGGATAAGTGTTTACCCCTGCCTCTTAATGCCCCCCTTCTCTAGGAATCCTACCCAGCTGTCCCCCCAATATGGTCCGTGGAATCAGACGACCCCAACCTGGCAGCGATCTTGGAGAGGCTAGCCGACGTGAAGAAGGGCAGCACATTGGTGAGGCTGGGGAAAAGGCCGCCGGGGGGCACTGAGGCGGGTCTGTTGAGTTGGAGGCAGCACAGGGCTGGCTGGCTAACCTTTGCCGTTTTCTCCTTCGGAAGCTCCTGCAGCACCTGAAGCGGATCATTTCAGACCTCTGCAAACTCTACAACCTTCCTCAGCATCCAGATGTCGAGATGCTGGACCAGCCTCTGCCAGCCGAGCAGGTACAGCTCTCCTGCCTGGCCTCCCAGGCCAAGCTGCGTTCCCTGACCCAGGGAGCTGCTTCGGGGAGGCCTCCGTGTCCTGTGCCCACGGCTCTGGACACTGTCCTGTTCCAAGCCAGCCCCTTGGACAATACACCCCCTTCCCCCCCAAGTAGGGCCTTCTAGCTGTGCTGGACTACAGCTCTTACCAGCCCCCACTAGCATGGCTCATGGTCATGGATGATGTTGTTCTTTCTATACCACCCAACAGTCAACGTTCTCTGAACAATTTACAAGGGAATTAAACATCAAAATCTGGCAAGAGCTGTTAAGCGGCTGACATAATGCCCCATTCAGGGTTGATTCATTGCCATGTCCTATACAACCACCTGAGCCTGGTGCTTAAAAGATCTTGGACTGGGTGCCAGACAATCCTCCGTGGGCCCTTCTCCTTCTTGCTGTCAACCAGAAGTAGCCCTTTAAGGTGGGCCCCAGATCTCGATTGCAGCTAGGAGAGGAATTCTGTCTGCTATTGCAGTCTCAAGCCATGTTAAGGGCCTCCTATGTTAAAACCGGCACCGTGTGTTAAGCTCTGAAGCATTATCAGCACCCAGTGGAAGAGGGCCAGAATTTGGGAGCGGGGAGGGTCAGGTTAGTCCGACTGCCGAGTCGGAAGGTGAATGTTTGCAAGATGGCCCACACTAGCTTCGTGGATTTCCGGGCAGGTGTCTTTCCCAGTCCTACAGTTTCATAAGTGGGTATCCCTCCTACACCAGTCATGCTTGTAGTTAGTATGGGGTCAGGCTAGGGACTACAGAGCTTCGCCCATGCTTCTCTGCATCATACTTAAGAAGCAACTGGGCAAGCAACCGTGTAACGATCCAGACTCGGCGCAGGGGTGGGTAAGGAAGAGGGCACAGTAACCCATCCGTTTGTTACTTTGGGCTCTGCGGATGGTGACTGGTGCCATGAGCTCATGGCAGCATTTCCAGCTGCTCGCCCGAAGGCACTGCCTGTTCCTTCAAGAAAGCAGTATTTTTTTCTCTCTTGGCTTCCAAGGTCTTACGGTGGCAGCTGTTACACTCTGCGGGAGTACCCGGGAAGGGCAGCAGGGTGCGCTGAAGGCGGGGGTGGGAGATTCGCAGCCCTGCAGATGTCTTGGCCAACAGCACCTGTCGGCCCTTGGCAGTTTAGAGATGCGAGGGCAGCGGTCCTCCAGCTATTTCAGCCTACGAATTCCCCAGCCCATTACTCAAGCTGATGTCTTCTGGAAGACTGGTATTGAATCTCGATCTCACCCACTTTTGTTTCAGAGTACACAAGAAGAGGTGTCCTCCGAAGAGGAAGACGAGGAGATGCCAGAGGTAGGGGGGCCCCTTCCCTAACCCCCCTGCCCCCAAGAGGGAATCGCGGCCTCCCACTGCCTCTGCACCACACCTCCATCCGGCAGCTTCCCATTCCCTTCAGGAGGTCCCCAGGCAGGGTCTATTCTGACCTCTTTTTCTCCTCTCATCTCCAAGGACACGGAAGAGCTCGACCACTACGAGATGAAGGAAGAGGAGCCAGCCGAAGGGAAGAAGGCCGAAGACGACGGCATCGGCAAGGAGAACCTTGCTATCCTCGAGAAAATCAAAAAGAACCAGAGGCAAGATTACTTAAATGTACGTGTCGCCAGGCGGGAGGGCAAGCTTGGTGGGGAATGGTGGGCTCGCTGGGGGGAGCGGAGGGCTTCGCCCTGAACCTCAGTGGGCTGCCTCAGGGACCTGCTTCCTCCCAGCAATGGTTGAACGTGATAACCAGACCGAGGGGCGCTTCAGATGGGGCGATCTGGATGGAAGCCAACTTGGGGGTTCTCCCTGCCCTTACCATGCCAGAGTGAGGAGCCTGGCAGGAATCCTATAAATCACAGGATGCAGAGTGTCTTTCTGTAGGACAGAAAGAGACATTGCCTGCCTGCCTGCCTGCCTCCCTCCCAGGCACACCCTACACAAAGGCCATTGTGTTCCTGGAACAACACATTCTTGAAATGGCTTAAGTCTGTCAGGTGTGGTCTGCTCTGCATCATGTTTACAAAAATTACAGGCTTCTTAGCTCTGACAGAAGTTTGCTACCTTGTTATTCTGCAGGCTGAAGGCTTGCTTTATTTAACGTTTGCAATTAATATAAAGCATACAGCAAAATATTTTAGCTGCCTCTCCTCACCAGATAAAAACATCTTATGCTCAGCTTCCAAAAGACACTGGGATCCTCTTTGGATGTGTAAATTTGATATGGGACTGTCGCAAATGCATGTTGTTCCTTTCAAACTGGACAACTGCCCTATCACATCAGTGGCCAAAGCTAGAAGCCCTGGCTTGTTACTTTTATACACAAGATTAGGATGGCACATGCGCTTCAAATGAGCAATTTTTGCTTTGCCCTGCAGTATCAAACAGTCAATTTGCTTCATCAGCCTCCTTCCCACACAGGCCAACCAGTGGCCTCTGGGAAGAACAGACAGAGTGCGAAGGTGGCAACAGCCTTTCCCCTGCTGCCAATCGTGGTATTATTTTGTGGTATAGTGCATCTGAATCTGGAGGTTCTGCTTCTCCACCTCCCCTGACCGTCACCGGTAGCCTTTCTTCGCTAACTCCACAAATAGGTCTTACTTGCTGTCGCCACACCTTGTGACAATGAATTCCACCAGACAATGCTGTGTAGCAAAGAGCAGTCACCTCTGATTTGCGAGACCTAGTTCTGCCCCCCACCCGTTTCTCATGCACTGGAAGAAGACAAAAGCTCACCGCTAGCTGTGCTGCACGTAACTGGCAAGGGACTGGGTTGTCTGCTTTCCTAGCGAGGCAGATCTAACAGTGGGATTCCCCTGCGCTCTCTCTCTCTCGCAGGGGGCAGTGTCTGGGTCCGTGCAGGCCACCGACCGGCTAATGAAGGAGCTCAGGGATATTTACCGATCGGCAAGTTTCAAAGGTGGTAGGTATCCGGCCTGGCGGTGTGGGACGCTTGATGTTAGAGGCTGTTTTTGCGGGCGAGGCAGTTGGCGCCGTGTGGCGGAGCAGCTGGAGGCGAATCGCAGGCCAAGGCGGCTTGGTTCGTGGTCTGCGCACACGACTCCATCTTCTACAACGCTAACTCCGTCCTGTTTATCGCCTGCAGGAAACTATGCAGTTGAACTAGTGAACGACAGCCTGTACGACTGGAACGTCAAACTCCTGAAGTAAGGGTCTGAGGCTGGATTTCCATGTAGTGTGAGAAACCTGCTGCCAGACGGGAGCAGAAGTGAGAAAGCAGCAAGGTTCCCGGACTTAAGAGTGGGAACCAGACATTGCCGCGACGATGACTTGCTTTCACCTCAGCTAAGGCTGCTGACTTGCAGAGAGCTTGGCCTGACCAGGAGCAAACTTCCCCACGAAAAGACCGAGCTCGCATCAGTGACAGTTGCCTCAGCTTAAATACAGACCTGTTCTTTTCATGTTAAGGCCAGGTTTGCATAGAACAGCCCTGTGCTTGCTTAACACGGGGTGCCCCACCCCAGGCTTTGTCGAGGAGACGACAGAACAAACTGTAGTTTGTATCCTGGGTTGTTTCCCTCCTCCTGCTTCCAAAAGCCTTTTGACCGTATTCCCACAGCCTCTGTCATCTGTAGAAACAACCCACAAATATCCCCAAATCTGCATGCCACGACTCCCCCAGTGGTTGAAACATCTCAGCCATCATAAACCAGCAACAAAACCAGTGCTTTCTGGGGCATTTGCTGTTATTTAACCCATTTGTCAGTATGACCACATTCGCATATCACAGTAACAGAATCCAACAAAGCACATCCTGGGCTAATGTCACATGTGCAACCCGTTCAGAGACTGGCTGCCCTGGTGCATAACACTAAACCATGGGCTGCTTTAACCAGGGTTTCTTACTTACGTGTGAACCTGGCCAAAAGGCCTTTTGCCACCTGGCTCTGGGCAAGGAATCTTGCTGCCGATGCTGCCTGGCCAGAGGCCCAGGGAGCCTCCATCGTGGCCGATGGGTGCCGTGCTCTTGACCACTGGCCCTTCTTTCAGGGTGGACGAGGATAGTGCCTTGCACAGTGATCTACAGGTCCTCAAGGAGAAGGAGGGGACAGACTTCATCCTCCTCAACTTCACTTTCAAGGTCAGGCTGGCGGGGAAGGACAGGAGGACAGGGTGGCGGCAGCAAGTGGGAACAGAGAAACGGGAAGGGCGCCACGCTCAGCTTCTCTCTTCTCCCTTTCAGGACAACTTCCCTTTCGACCCACCCTTTGTAAGGGTCGTGTCTCCAGTGCTGTCGGGGGGGTAAGTGACCGATCCCCGTCTTGGTCTTCTCCCTGGCCCGCTTGATTGGCTTCCCGGGCTTGATTTCTGAGCTGGGCGCTTAAAAGCCTCGCGGGGCTTTGCTGCAAGGGTGCAGAGGCTGGGCCTGCTGTCGGAGGCGAGGGAAAGCACTCTGCACGCTCTCGAGTGCTGCTGGCCAGTCCGGGCCCTGCATCCGGAACTGAAGCCTGTTGCTTCCAGGAGGCAGGTCCACACACAGCACACCTGAGCAGCAGGTGCCTGTCCTCTCGTTTTTCCAGCACTGCACTCTTGGCGATTTAAAATGAAGGCCTTTGTCCTGGTAGTCATGCTAGAAAAGGGGAAAGGGAGCTGGGAAGAAACGACTCTCGAGTGGAAAAGGTGGACTGAGGAAAGATTTGTGGGAGCAGGGGGTTGATCGCATGTTCGAACCGGATTCGCTGTGTGTTGTGTAAACCCCCGTGAGTCGCAGCACGTGCCATTTTGAGTAAACAACCCCCAAAGGGGCTACTGTCATGCAAACCTGGCCACTGTGGGGTATGCGAGTCCTGCAAAGCACCGTGACCCCAGAGGGACGTGTGAACTGGGCCAGAGAAGTGGGGCATGCTGCTCTTCAAGGGCAGGATGAAGCATTTTTGCTGAAAGGGGACTTCCTCCCTGAATGCCTGCGGTTAAAGCCACAGCCAGCTAGGGGAGTAGCTGCAGAGCTGTAATCGCACGGCAAAAGATGGCAAAGGAACCAGATTGGCTCTTCTTGTAGGGGAAATTTTTGCCCTGTCCCGCCCGCACTATTTTGCTTAAGTGTGGGTTCTCCCTCCCTCCCTCCCAACCTTGATCTTTCCTCTCAGGTATGTCCTGGGTGGAGGAGCCATCTGCATGGAGCTTCTAACGAAGCAGGTGAGCAGCCCTGAGGACGGTGCTGGGAGAGGGCTGGGGCTTGCCAGCCTGCCCCACGCTGGAACTCTCCCCCTCCTCTCTTTCCAGGGTTGGAGCAGTGCTTACTCCGTGGAGTCCGTTATCATGCAGATCAGTGCCACACTGGTGAAAGGCAAAGCCAGGGTCCAGTTTGGGGCCAACAAAGTAAGTTGGGACCAGTAGCAAGCTCTAGTGAATCTGAAGCGCTCCGCTCGGAGCCCATCCTTTTCTGGTGTAGCTGGATTTTAAGAATGTGTTGTCCATTTTTTATTCTCTTCGGCCTTGGAACTGCTGTGGAGGCACAGTCTCTGTCTTTACACCCTGCTCTGCGTTTGCAAGTTTTCCCTTATGTTATTTATTTGATGCGTGTCTAGGCCACCTTTCAAAACCAAAATTTCCCAAGGTGGAACACAAGTGCTCAGGAACACCTTTCAGAACATGCACCTAAACTGAACAAACCATTTGAACCTGAAACAATGCCCTGTTGCAGGCCAAGAAGCGAACGTTATGGTTTAAAAGGGAAAACTGTTAACTCTTTAACATGTTAGGTTCAACACTGAATATTACTGCAGTAACTGTACAATCTAACCAGAGATTATAAGATAACTAAGACAATAGCAGCTTTTCTGCAAAATCAGAATTTTTTGTTCAGTTTGAGGACTGTGCAGTTGGACTGAATGGGAGCTGCTTACCCGGGAGCAGTCTATGTGCTCCACTGCATTCGAAGGATCAACTTTTCCCCTCCAGATCCTAGAAGTTTTCTTTATGTCAATGACCATCCTGACTTACTGCTCTGTCAGAAAGCTGATATGGTAGAATATATCTTAAGCAATGCACTAGACAGCCTCGGTCTATTCTATACAGTAATAGAAACCAACTTAATTGTAATCCTGCCAGGCTTCAATTATATGCTTTTCATTTGAAGAACAAGCAAGCATCTTGGAAAATTTAAGAAGGTTAGATCCCTGTTATATTCCTAAATCCCAAGGCATTCCTTTGGATTGCAAAACAGGTTGGCAGGTTTCCGCATGGCATGATGTCCTCCAAAAACTAATGGGAACCAGCTAGGGCACTCAGCCACAAACATTTAAGAAACACAGTCCTGGCCTTATATTATTCTGCAGGCAAATATACCAGCCTAATGTGGTATAGCCCAGCCTATACAAAGCTGAGAGGTTGAGCACGTCATGAAAGCAGCAGAAGCATTACAGGAAACCTGGGGCCAAACTTAATCACTGGACTGCTATAATGCGCACTGACATACGGAAATAAGTAGCAGCCAGTGAAAGGCTCAAAGTATCCATGTCAAATGTTTTGCTTATACTCCCAGATTAATTTTTTTAAAAAGCTTTATCAGAACACCTTCAAATTTGTGGTGAAACACCAGAGAAGGCCAGGATTAAAGGTTGTGGAGAGGAAGATCCACCCATCCCCTAAAACAGATGACACCGAAGGCAGGCTTACCCTGGTCAAACAGAAAATTGGGTAACCCGCAAGTTACTCAATAGGTTGGGGCAAATCTTCGGAAACGCATTCTGCAAGGAGTTCCGTGCCTACGGGAGCACACGCTATGCCTGCCGCCATGGAAGACTGAGGCTTAGCTGCTCTAAATGCCCTTGACCTCACTTCAAACTGAATGAGAATTATTTAGTACCATCACCTAGACTTTGATTTCATATGTGTCTATTGGTATTTATATAGATGTGTTTTATACAGAGTATTGTTTTTAATCTTGTGGCTTTTTGCTAATCTATCTGGGGAGCTTCTGATAAAAAAAAAAGGCCAAAGGCAGACTGAATTTTTAAATATGGGTTAAAAGGCTATCTGAGAAACCATTTGCTTGGTAATAGGGGAGTTGCTCACTCAAGATGCCTGGGTCCCAAATGTTTGCAGGCTTTTTATCCTAGAAGCGGGATCTTAACCCGACTTCGTAACAAGCTGGCAGCCAAGGTGGTATTTTTCAGGGGAGGTATAACCCTTCTAGCCACTGCTACAAACAAATTAACATGCTTCTTCAGTTCAACCCCTGATGAATTATCTTCCTCTCTGTCTCTATCAGGCACCCCCGGTACTTAAACCAAGGTTAGGGCTAGAGTCTTGGTAGTTGCGGAGGTGGGTGGGTGGGTGGGTGGGTGGGTGGCAGGACTAGGAGATGGAGGAGAAACTCCGAGCGTTTAAAAGATGAGCCATTCTTTTGCCGCAGAACCAGTACAGCCTGACAAGAGCACAGCAGTCGTACAAGTCCCTGGTCCAGATCCACGAGAAAAATGGTAAGAACTAGTGTCTTGCCAGAGAAGGGCTGGGAGCCCGCGGGCCTTTTCCGACTGGCTGGACCCCCTTTGTGAGGAGAGGGCAAGTGAAATGAATAGAAAGAGCGAACCACCACGGGGAGGTGCGTGAGGAGCTGCAGAGAGAGGGTTTTGGCCCTGGCCAGGGAAGGCTGCAGAAGTCTTGGCGGGAGGTTTTGCAGGCTTGCCCTTGGTCCGTGCAGGTTATTCTTCCGTGGGGTTTCCAGGCCAGGGACTTAGTATGGGACACTCATCCTACCACCGTTGCTTGGCTCAAATCGTGCCTTGGCAAGCTTGCTTCTGGCAGATCCCAGACGTGGGAGAAACAGGCCAGCTGTCCAAGATGGGATTGCCGGGCGCGTGGCAAGAGTTCGGTGCTGCTTCAGCTGTGGGTCGTGTCCAGCCGAGCAGCTTTACACTAGCTCTCGCTGGGCCACCCATTCCAAGGAAGGAGGGGATGCAAGGGTGGAATCCTCCTCACAAGCTGGATGGAAGGGGAGCTGGCCTGACGCTGGCAGCCGGGCACTGCTCCTCTCGCTGGGCCTTCCGCTTGGAGGCACGCCACCACCGTTGCTTCGGGGGGGGGGGGGGACTAGAGCGACAAGAGGGGTGCTAATTGCTCCAAACCTGCAGTCTGGGCCTGATGGGTCACTGGACACTCTTTCCAGAAGGCTAACCTGTCAGACTGGAAGGACGGACCAAGGAACAAGGCAGAAGGTGGGAATGTGAGCTCCAAAACCTAAGTTGTAAACTGTCCGGAAACATAGTAATGGGGCAGTCTATAAAAGCTTTAAATAAGAAAGATCTTTTTCAGAGTCCAAATAAAAGTGGCAATCGGGCGCCTCAGCTTCCTCTGTTAACCTCCCAGTGTAAAAAACTAGCAGAACTTTGGGGGCCCGTCTCGGCTCTGGCCTCGTCCCTCCTGCTCAACTTTGCCTCTCGCTCACAGGCTGGTACACGCCTCCCAAGGAAGACGGGTAGCAGAGCTGCGGCCGCAGGACGCTCCTGGCTCCCCTGCCGAACGCTGCACTTGGAACCACCAAGGGCGCTGCCTCTGCCTGCCGGGAAACGGACTCCCGCCACCCGTTTTGCAAGACAATTTGGAGCGGCTCCCACCAGACTTTTCCAGAATTATAAAACTGTTGCGAGCAGCCCGGCCGTGGGCTCTGGGCTCGCTTGGACCCCGGGCTGGCTGGCAGCCAGTCACTCTTCTTAAACCACACACACACCTTTTGATTCTCTTGTATCGCTGGAAGCTTCCACCAGCTCTGCTGCAGTCCAGAGCACCTCCGCCTCTCCCTCTGCTACGGATTTAATTTATTTTATTAATGTACACTGCTTTTTTTTCCTTTTGGTTACAGTGTATGATGGATGTGTACGGGGGAAAATGTATCTTTGGAGAACAATTACATTTGTTAATTTGAAGGGGGACTGGTCTTAGCTCTGTCTGTAAAGCAGGTAACGGCTAGCTGTGATGGGGCCGCTCAGCCAGGTTAACCTCTGCAACACATACATGCACACAGACTTCCCCCAGCTATTAAAACCCCCCCCCCCCCCCCGCCCCGTGGCTCTTAGCTTTCATCTTCCACATGCCGCATCAGGGCTGACAAGATTAGGAACTGAGCTGTCGGCAGATCGGCAAACTTAACAGCACACAAAAGCCTCTGAGATCCATTCAAGCTTAACAATGAGGACTAGGAGCTTCTGGGGGCAGGATGGGCTATAGGCTGAAATTTTCTTAGGCTGTTTTCTCAGCGCTTCATATGGACTGATTTTTCTGTTATCTACCTGGCACATGCAAGAACCTGACAATGCCTGTGTATATATTTTCCTTTTGAACATGGTACTGACTATGGCTAGTCATGGAAAGGGTTGCTTATTAGAGCCAGTCGTGTGACATGTTAACTCATTTGTCGTGCGTGTGCTGTTTTCCAGGAAGAAAAATTGGTCCAAGCCATGCACACACTTTCAGCCTGTAGCAAGCTTTGCCAGGGCAAGAAACTCCTTTCAGACCCATTGCAGTTGCGTTTCTAAGCTCCCAATGTTACTTTTCGACAAAGCAGCACTTATTTTAAAAATTCAGTACACCTTAAGAGAAGCACTCCCATCTACCAGCAGGGGACATTTGGACTTGGGAAAAGACAGGCATGTTTGGGGGAAATGCAACAGCACGGCTGCTTCAGCAAGCAACTCAAAAGCTCGCATTGTGGGGAAGAGATCAAGCATCTTTCTCTTCACAAGTATGCACTTTCAGTTTCCCCCCTTTTTTTTAAGAAAGCAAGCCACCATGTTCTGGGAACGTACTTTGGTTTAATCAATTGAATTGCACCCGTGGCCTCTCCAAGAAAAAGTTTATCCAGAATAAAAATTTAACTAGTCACCTGTTCTCCCCACATACATGGACAAATTGAGAGAAGCAGAGGGGAAAAAAGATTCGTTTTTGTCGCTTCAGTATTAAATCTTTGCTGTTCTGGCAGCAGGACTCGTGTCTTTAAACAAAGTCCTACAGATATGCCCCCTCTGAATATTTGGGATTTTCCAGAGTCCCAGCTTCGACGGGCCATGGTGAGGGTTGACGGCAGTGGCATTCCAGAGGGCAGGTTCCCCATCTACTTGATCAAAACCAAGTCAATTGCAGCATGAGAAATTTCTGAGAACGCCTTGTTCAAAGCAAAGTCCAACTTTCCAGACTGAGCCGCCTGCCAACAGTTTTGAGGCAAAGCCAAATCAATCAGGGTTTTGGGAGGAGGGAGAATCCACCAGACCAAACATATGCAGGCTTACCCATCTCGAGCAAACATCGAATCCCCAAAAACAGAACAGCCATCAACCTACTAGTAGAACATTGTATCTGGAATTTGTTAGACTGCTGCTTCTTAACCCACTTTGGGAGCGAACATCAAAATGTGAGCCTGCCAGAGACATCAAGAAGAGATCGTTTTACCTACATGCTCCGCGATCCTCTTGTTCACTTCAATTTCTCCCCCTCCACTGCTCAGATGTTTTCCGCCAAGTCACAAAGGCATAGACACACGGGTTACTTGTAAGCAACTCTGCATATTCTCTTAAGGCTGCCGAGTTTAAAAAAGCATTGCCGACTTTATTTTGGTGGTGGGGATGCCTGTTAACCCAAGCTAACTTTCTAGACCTTGCAACTGCAAAGATAGGGTCTGAAAGATCTTGCTGAAGCCCCAAATGTCAAAGTGAACAGAAATCCTGCTAAGATACCCGTTTCAATGCCCTACTGAAGTTTCTCACAGCCAAGTATTAGGTTTACATAGATGCTGCTGCTTTTTCTCGCGGTTTGGACTGCGCCCTTTCTTGAGCAGGGCTGCAATTTAAACATTCACACAAACACACGCTGCCACAGCAGTTTCTGGGTTAATTAAACTTGACGCCTGCACAAGAGATGCTGTATTTGCATCCAGTCATTCCCAAGCCCGAGAAAGCAAATTCCAATGGCCTGAAAGAGGATTCCCACAGCGTATCCACACTGGGCACTGCCTCACTCCATACAATTATTTAACCAATTGGGAAATGCTAATTTCTCATGGTTTGTCCCAGGCTGGTTGGCCTCCAGATGCCTGGAGACTTCAATTCACACCAGCCCCATCCAGTACGGCCAACGGTCAGGAATGCTGGGGTGTGTAGTCCCGAGGAATTGAGAAACACTAGGGTGCAAGGAGGCAACTTTTGCATGGTGTCTAAACTGGGTATGATCCCAGCTGGTTTTGAGCAAAGAGCTGGGTTTCAGGAACACACAAACAAGCCCTGGTTTGCCATCCTGGCTCATCAAGGTCACCACAAACCCAGAGCCCTGGTTTGGATGGCAGGTGAGAGAGAGAACAAGGAGGTTTTATGATTGCACTAGCTCAGGACTGCCGCCAAATGGAAGTGGCACACCGTGTCATCTAGGTTTGGAAACTTACATCCTCTCACGTCAGACCAACACAGAAAACACAGGGGTTCCCCTCCCCAGAACCATGTCTCATCCCCTTCCCAGTTGCAAGGTAAGTCTTCTGGGGCATTAAAAGAACTGTGCATCTTATGTCAGGAAGGATGGCCCTGATTATCAGTGCTTGGGAGACGATAAAGCATTTTCACCTCCATTAAAGGAACAAAAACATAAAGGGGAGAAATGCTCCAAAAAGGCTGCAACTTCTTTACCTCCCTCGGTGATGGACCGAACACCTCCCCTTCCAGGATCTGTCTCATCATGACCTGAGGCGGGAACACTCCTGCTAGACAAAAAACAGAACCGGTCAAAAGGAATTCTTCAAACGGGAGACTTGCAGGTGGTGTTTCGGGGTCATCAAGTTCGCTGGATGACTTTGAACCAGTTACTCTTAGCTTAACATCTTCCTCAAAGCATTGCGAGAATAAAAATAGAAGGGAGACTATGTAAGTCAAAAGGAGGGTGTGTGTGTGTGTGTGTGTGTGTGTGTGTGTGTGTGTGTGTGTAAATATGTATATAAATGTGTGTGTGTGTATTAAATATACCTTAAACACACGGAGACGGAGACAGAGACAGAGGAAGGCAGTGAGTCTCCGGTCAAGAACAGCCCTCTCCCACCAGCCCCTTTGCCCAATTCGATGGAAGATGTCAGAAATCAAAGCCAGGACTTTCTGTACACAAAGTGAGGTTTTGGTCACAGGACAGCGGCCTCCCCTACCTTCTTGGAGCATGAAAGGCTGGGCCAAAGGGCTTATGGCCCAGAATTCATCCTTGTCCAGCTTCCGGAGCGCGTGCAGAGGGACTGTGTGTGAGTGGCCAAAATCCACGAAGAACACGACGGCAAGATTTTCCACCTTGTCCAAAACCCAGCACCTATTGGGGAGATCAGGCAGGCAGGGGAGCAGAAGGGAAGCTCAGCTTTTCACCCTCTGGCCCGTCCTTCTGTCCCTGACCAAGGACAGCCCCAGGGAGGCTCAGGAACAGCTCCTGATCATGCCCGGCCTCAGGTATCACTACTGCCCCCACATGCCCATTTGGCTATGAGTTCGGGGGTCAATGCTGATGGACCCACCCCTTTTCCTGGCCCTGCCCAAAGGATTCGTTGGTCTCCAGCTCTGACGCAGCTTCCCTCCGTTTTGAAAATGCCTCCCCTAAAGCTTAGCAACCAGCCGAAAGCCCTTCCGTGCAGGCAGGCCAGGAATGTCAGCCCTCTCTGCCACTGGACGGGGGTTTCAGTCAGCATTTGGCCCTCGAGGTGAAAGATGTCCTGCTGCACCTTCACAGACCAAAAGTGAGATGAGCGAGCTCATCCCTCCGCTTTTACCTGTTCCACGCGCTGCCTTCATCTCCCACAATGCACTCTGCCAGGCAGCGTGTCCCTCGCTGGATGTCCTGGCTTGCCAGAAAGGGCAACTCGGACTCTACTTCTGCCAAGGCGGCGAAAAGCTTCTGCATGTTTTGATGGCATTCCTATGTCGAAAAAGGTAAATAAAAAGCCGCCACTGCATTTCGGCTCCTCTCAAGTATTCACCCACAAAGCACCCACCCCAAGCCAAGCCAAAGTCAAGTCTCTAGCCCCCATGAAATTCTAACTCCGCTGCCAAGGAACTTTATTTCTGTCTGGGTCACTTACCGCCTCCCCCTTCCACTAAAAAGACAAAAAAAAAGCTGCTAAAAGTCAATTCTTCCCTTTCTTCAGCCCAAGAAATGCCTAAGCCAAGTGCATTCGAGCAAAACGAACGTCAGTCCATTGCCACGCAGTAGATCTTGTGGCCGTATCTTGCATTACCAGTAGGGGACACAAGTGCTTTCCTCTACCAAGGCATGCAAGGCCAAACACATGCAAAAAGAGGCAGGAACAGAGAAGATTAACGACCTGGTAGCCGGGCCAAGCGGCACACTTCTGTATCATAGCCAGAAGTGTGGCTTCTAGATCGAGAGAGGGATTACTACCACGCTATATTATTATTATTATTATTATTATTATTATTATTATTATTATTATTATAACATTTCTATGCCGCCCCTTGCCGAAACCTCGGGGCGGCTTACAACACGATAAAATACATTGAAATACAATAGCACATAATAAATTACCATTAAATACAAAAATACAAAAAATACATTGATTTACAAATATATGACTCTGGTGCACCCACAACTGGAGTCTTGTGCTCAGTTCTGGGCCCCTCGTTGCAGGAAGGATATGGCCAGGTTGGAGTCAGTGCAGCGCAGGGCCACAAGGTTGGTGGCCGGTTTGCAGGGGATGCCATATGAGGCGAGACTGAGGGAACTGGGTCTCTTCAGCCTGGAGAAGAGGAGACTCAGAGGGGATCTGTTGGCGACATACAGGCATGTGAGGGGGTGTCACACGGAGGTGGGTAGAGACCTGTTCTGCCCTGCAGAGGAAGGCAGGACGCGCTCCAACGGAGCAAAGCTCAGGGAGCCAAGGTTTCGTTTGGATGCCAGGAAGCACTTCCTGACAGTCAGGACCCCGAGGGTGTGGAATGGCTTCCCCGGGAGGTCGCTGAGGCCCCATCGGTGAGGGTCTTCAAGGACAGACTGGACATGCACATGGTGGGCATGTCATGAGAGGAGCTGGCCGGTGCCGGAGGTCAGACTAGATGGCCCGGGAGGCCCCTTCTGACTCGCTCTGTTTCTATCAAGGCAGACAATTCAACCAAGTTCTCCACCTGCACAGACCTCCGTGAGATGGATCGCCCAGAAGTACGGCGTCTGGGGAATCGAGTCCATCACCAGCAGCCCCGCTTTTCCGAGGACCTTCGTGATGCTCAACAGCCACGTCACGTTCTTGAAGCAATCCCTCAACATGTGTAGCAAGAAGGAACTCCTAGGATGGAAAGGGAACGTGGCAGAGCAGGCCACTGCCCAGACTCAGTGGCATCAAGCGCATGGTATTGTCATCGCCCTATTTCTAAATTTCCTAACAGCCACAGCTTCCTAGGCAGCTCACAATGGCAGGCAGGAGACAGTAAAAATGCCATCGGAATTAGAAAATAACCATCAAAGCACCATAAAATACAGGACAAAATTCAAAACCCTAAGGCAAAGCCAGAATTTTAAAAGCTACCATAGCTTAGACAAATTAAATCACAAGACCCATGAGGCAGGTGGCATAATGCCCCGATGTAAAATAAAATTAAATGAAGAGGACAATCTTAACATGGCACCAAGAAGATAGGAGAGCTGGCGACAGGCAGGCCTCTGCAGGGAGCCTGTTCCCAAACTGGAGGCTGCCTCCGAGAAGGCCCTTTTCCTGGTGGCCCCCAACCAGGCCTCCCTCCCGAGTGGCACTGAAAGCCAAGTCCCAGATCTTGACTGTCGGGAGGGAGGGAGACAAAATGAAGGAAACCAAGAGATTGGGCAGGGAGGGGCACTTAAAAAGCCATAAAGCCTTCCTTTCCCAAACCTGTTGCTCCCCGGAGGTTCGGGACTCCCTGAGCATGGGGTGTGCTGGGCAAGGCTGATAGCAGCTGGAGTCCCAGCCAGCAGGAATTACACCAAGTTGAGGAAGGCCGGCCTTGAGCAGGGGTGCAGAACAACTCAGGCCAAATCTGGCCATCTGTGGGTCAGGGAGTCCCACCCCCCTTTCCTGACACTGTTCACTGGGTCGTTTCCTGACTGCTGTGCGGCTCCCAAAAGGGCAAAGCACCCCCTCTGAAAGCTTAGCCAGGGGCAGCAAGAGCTTCAAGGTGAAAGACACTGCTATTTGGGAGTCCACCCACCACTGGGACGCAACCCCGAGTGCCTCTCCAAAGTGGAACCTGGCCCACGGCCTGAAAGAGCTTCGGCAACTCTGCTTAACGGCAACTCAGAGCCAACCGGGGCAGGCCCACCCTGAGGCGTTTCAGAGCAGAGCAGCCGGGTTCGGTGGGGCCACCTAGGCCAGCCTCCGGCTTTGCACAGATGGCTCAGAAGCGGCACTTGAACGTTACCGCTCCCCTCATCCTGCTGCTCCAGAAGGGCTTGCACAGAAAGCGGTTTGGCTGCCACCCAACAGGGGGGCTCCGAAAACCCACAGCGGCCGCATCGAGGTACAAGCTAGCCTTTTGGCTGCGCACAGGGACCATTTGCTCACACATGCAACACAAGGGAAGCCCGACTCCAACCTGCAGCGGCTCTCAGGCTGGCTCCAGGGCAGAGGGCTCGACTTCCAAGGCCTGCCCCTTAGGGGGCACTGCTGGGGGACATCCACGCGCCCTGGAGGGTATCCCAAGCGCTGCGTCGGCAAGAGCGCCCCCACTGGCTTCTCGGATCGCAGAATGGGGGTGACCCCAGGCCCCTGCTGGAATCAGCGACGGCTGCAAAGAGGGCCGGCCTCCACAGGGCACAACACGGGGGCAGGGACACGGATGTGCCCAAAGGAGCCTCTTCTCCCGCCACCTGCTGAGCCCGTTGCTCCATGTCTCTTCCCACGCAAAAAACGAAGCAGAGGAAAGGGTGAAGCTGCACCCACTGACCTCAGCTACCCCAGAGTGGGCCAATGCAGTCCCGGACCCCGGGAAAAGGTTTTTCGCTCCTCGGTTAAAATTCCCCCCTCTCTGCTTTTGCAGGCAGGGCTGCTGGGAGCTGTCCACCAAGTCTGGAAAGCGTCCGGCCGTTAAGATTTGGACGAATTAAAACACCAGCAGCTTTCGCTACAAGAATTACTAGGGGCAGTTCAGCCAACGCTAAGCAGAGCACACGATCCCAGCGCAGGCAGAGAAAGCCAAGCAGACTGCAAACGGCCCCGAAGCAAAGTTGATGCCCCATATTACACTCCAGGCAAGTGGCTGGAGAAGATACCCTAGAAGGAGATGAACAAAACTATAACAGATCCTGGGTTTTGTCCCACCTGCAAGTAGACAGGACAAAGATGGGACCTAAGTCAGGCTGGCGATGGTTGCTACCCTGCGGCTCTTCTCCCGGGGGAGGGAGGAATTGTGTATTTGCCCCATTCTTGCCCTCTGCCCTTCGTATCTCACTTACCGCATTTCCATGGGAACAGCGTAACGGACAGCATGTTTTATTGGCGAAGAGATCTGGCTGCCGCCTTTGGGAAGGGACTCTGGAAGAACACGGTACGGATATTTCAAGCCACCACCACTACCTGTTAGGGACTTAGGCGGCCACGTCCCGACAGAGTAAAGGCAACAAGGCCACCGAGGAAGAGGATGGTATTAGCAGTTTCCGCAGAACCCCAGCTTTGCAGCAGCTCACACAAACACACACACACACTCCCTCGGTGCCTAAATGTCCCTTCACCCCAAACAGGGGCACTTCAGTCTGGAGGCAAAGATGCGACCCTTTGTCCGTCTCGGAACATGAGAAGGCATCCCTGGCAGATCAGCCTCAACACCCCTCTGGCCCAGCGTCCGGTTTCCCACAGGGGCCTGAAGGCGCTTCTCAGGCAGGGGTGGAGAGCCTCAGCCTCGGGGGGGGGGGGGGGGGGGGGGCAGGATCTGGCCATTGGGGGCTTCCCTAACCCCTTTCCCCAACCCTAGATCATCTGCTGGTTTTCTGGATTTTGTGTGGGTTTTTCCCCCTTGCACAGGGACAGACATGCCTTTCCTAAGACTGGCACCAAAGGGGATTGGTGCTTGAAGGTGGCCTTTGCTGGGGGTTTGTGTATTTTAGCCCCACCTCCTCGTCTCTGGACCCATCCTCAACTAGAACGCAACCCGAGTCTCTCTGCAATGAAGCTAGACCTGTGCGCTGAAAAGTGTTCAGTTCCCCAGATTTAAATCCAGTCCAAGCCACGCCGAAATCTAAGAAATCGGGGCTCCTGAGCATGTGGGGATCCTTTTTCACATTCAAAGACTAGTAGAAACCTCCTTTCTCCCTTATCCTTCCAACGAGGAAGGCGGAAGATGAGAGGCTGTTGAGGGAAAGACTGTCGAGTCTCATTTGCCCACAGAAATTCCCAGATCTAATTCCTGGCTTATCCACCTGCCTCACACCTGGGGAGCCACTGTTGCCAGTTGGTGTCACCGATACTGGCTGAGATGGACCACATGCCTGGGCCCACCTGAGGTCACTTCCTATGTTTTTATTCCCCAAAAGACACCATGGCAGCATTAGCCGGCCCTGTTGCGCCCCTTCCGCCGCCTAGCCACCGTCTTCAAAATGACAGCAGCTCCACCAAGGAACTGAAATTTCAGGGCAGGGAAGGGGAAAATCAACCCCAACATGCAACTTACTGCAATTCCACCCCAACTCCTTGTAGGGGACAAGTTCCAAATCCTAAAAAGAGAACAGAGTTTGCAGCTGATGGGCGTTTGGAGCTAATGCGAGTACACAGATCTAGGGGAAGGTCGGCATAGTGGGGGAAGAGTCGGGGCACTGATTTTACCGGCATCTTGGTGACCGTCTTGGGGGGCTCCTGGGCTTTTCTGGCCTCTGAAATGGCCACAGAGATGCGCCGGCCGCTCACCAGGCTACCGTTCAGCTGCTGGATGGCTGACTGGACCATCTCCGCGCTGGCCAGCTCGACGAAACAGAAGCTGGGGGCAGGATAAGGCACACGATTCTCAGCTGTGCCAGGGCAGGCCTCATCCTGGTGCAACAAGCACGTCTCTAAAATGCACTATGGGACCCTCCCCAACCTGGGGGATTATGAGAGTTGCAGGCCAAAACTTGTGGAGAGCACCAGGTTGGGCAAAGCTGGGTTTTGTGGGCCAGGCTCACGGAGGCCCAGGTTCAAATGCACACTGACCAAAGGTGACTTGCACTTCTCTGTTAAGAAACGGCACACCGGCACACTTCAAAATGAACGGCGTCAAGGAGGCGGATTCTGAAGAGGTGAAAGAGAAAAACACGGTGCATGCTTACCTTTTAAACGCAGTCTGGCATTTCTTGACCGACTTCACATCAAAGTCCTTGAAGAGGTGACCCACCTCCTCCTAAGATGGAAACCAGGGGAAATTTATTATTTATTTAAAACATTTCTATGCCGCCCCCATCGCAACAAAGCCTCGGGGCGGCTCACCACAAAAACAAAAACATACAAAATTATACAAAAATTATACACTAAAAATATTAAAACCCGGTGCATCTCGGCTTATTTTTTTTTTTAATCCTACATAATAAATTAACACTTAAAATAAGTTTTAAATAAAAAGGTCAGCCTGGCACTGAAAAACAAGTGACGGCGGCGCCAGGCGGACCACTCTGAGGAGCGCATTCCATAGGTGGGGCACCATCACAGAGAAAGCCCTCCTCCGGGTACTCACCCTCCTAATGTCCTTCACGGAGGGCTCCTGGAGAAGGGCCTCTCCCGCTGATCTCGAGGGGCGGTCGGGCATATATGGACTTCACAACAGACCACCAACCCACACGACTCCCACGACCCCGCAAGTAACGTCACCTTAAGCCAAGGATGCTGGTTTATTTAAACCACAATGCGACCAAACAATGTCCTCGCCCTTGCGACGTTTCCGCTCCCACTTCACGCGAGTTGACAAAACAGGGTGTCAGACCTGTTTCCACACGAGAGCCAGCTTCAATTTCAGGTCTCTCGGGGGCCACATTCCCACGGTGGGTAGGGATGAGGGTAGTGTTATCATAGCAAACATGCTGGCATGCTGTAGACGCAAGCCAATTGTGCCCCAAGTTAAGCCTTTTGAGGGCGACACTGCCCAAAAGCTGAGAAACCGCCAAAGAATTAGCAGCCGGCGGTGGGGTCAGAAACTGTGCTAGACTCTGGAAACGCTGCGGTTTTCTACCAGGGTTCTCCACCTTCTGCGACGGGGTGTACACCAGCTTTTACACAAGTTTCACTTTTTGTATTTAATTTCAACACCGCCCCACGGCCAAGCGCTTGGGGTGATTTACAGATGATCAAAACAGGCCATAAAAACATAACCACATATTATAAAGCAGCTCTTAAAAGGCAGTTCAAATTAAGAGCAACTTGTTATAGTGTGTGTTTTTTTAACCACATCAGAAACTGTGTGGTTAACACCAATTCAGTAAGTTTAAATCATGCAAGTTAAAATCAGACTTAAGTAACTTTAGACTCCAGAACAGCTTGTTGAGGTGTAAGCACACTTGTGAGGCATTGTGAGGTTGGGGAAATAGAAATTCAGGTGGGGCTGGAATGGAGTACCATGGAAAGGGCAGGAAAGGGCAGGCCGACACACTGAACAGGAAAGCTTCATGCTGCAATTGTGCATTGCAGGTCCGATTTGTACACATGAAAGATGAACACCTTGATGGGAGAATTAATCCTCATTTCTTGAACTGCCGCTGCAGACTTGGGTCAGAATCTAGCTGCCGTTCTCAATGAAAGGAAATTTGGGGCAGGTTTTGAATACTGTTAAAATTAGACTGTCCTGGGAAGGTTTCTATCAACCAGCGTCCTCCAACTTCTCGGGACAGGTAGCTTTTCCAGCGTGCTTTATTTTAAGCCACTTTGATTTACAAAAGAGTCCATTTAGAGGATAATCCGAGCATGATTTATTTATTCGTTTCTGAATTTATGAGTCCTTTAAGGGCTCCCTAAGCAGCTAACATGAAAAACAGGCCAATTGTAAGAAAAGGGGGGAGGAGTACGGGAGAACCTGTTGGGTGAGTGAGCTTTTACAATCAGGTGTAAAAGCCGGGATTAAAAAAAAAAACTTTGGAAGAGGGAAAAGAAATTAGGAGGGTAGGCACTCGGAGGAGGGCTTTCTCTGCGGTGGCGCCCAATCTATGGAATGTGCTCCCCAGAGAGGTCCGCCTGGCGCCGTCGTTATTTGTTTTTCGGCGCCAGGCGAAGACCTTTTTATTTAAGAGTCATTTTAATTGTTAACAATATTTGCTTATTTATCTGGCCAGGGCGACTTCTTTTATATTGATATTTATTTTATTTTGCTAATTTTATATTGTTATTTTTGTATTTTATTGTATTTTATTTTGTGTTGTGAGCCGCCCCGAGGCTTCGGCAAGGGGCGGCATAGAAATGTTTTAATTAATTAATTAATTAATTGGGCCATTTTTGCCTGGTGCAAAAATGAAAGTAGTGATGCCACCAGGCAGACCTCTTAGGAAACCCAAAGGTGGCGGGGCAGGCACTGCAAAGGCCCTTCTTCTAACTGCCATCCCTTGTACTTCCTTAAAAGTAAACTCACATACTGGGAGGCTGATGGGTATCCAGCACACAGCAGAAGGAGCGGCCGAGGCAAACTTTGCCTCCCTGCCCTTCCCAAACTTCTGCACTTCTGCCAGATGGACATTTCAAGCCACTGAGCGGCCGCGCTTCACAGGTGGAGCCAACGGACTGGAGAGCCATCAGGGCAACTCATAACCTGGGCTCCTGTTTGTTCCCCACAGAACAGTCCCTTTAACCTGACTCGGAAGTCACTTTCTCAGCCTTTGAGAGCGGCCACTGCAGCTCCTTCCGTACCAGCCACCACGGATGCGGGGTGGGGGGACCGAGCTCAGATTCCCAGATTCCCACCTCCCACCGTGAGGAGTCGCAGTGATCCTGGGGCCTCTCAGAGAACGTCCTGGCTCCTCCGGACCATTCCATCATATGCAAAAGTGGGGCATCAAGGATCGCGAGCAAACATTTTCCTTGAAAAGCTCACAGGAGAGCAGCTTCATCGAAACCAGAATGACTGGAGTGATTTAGACGATGTTGTAACGGCCAAGTTGCTCTCACCCTGCTGCCTCTTCCGTGTAGGCAGAACATGTACTCGTTTTGAGAAACATTTAATTAATAAAGAATATACCAAATACCACCTCCTTGATATCCACGGGGAGATTTCCAATAAATACTTCTGTTTGTTTTTTTCTGAAGGGCCCTAGAAAGAGCAAACAAGGAAATGTTTTGGAAACTGAATGTTGCACTGACCAGTAATGATAAAAAAGGGGGAAATGCTACTGGATTTGACCAAAGGACTATCTAACCCAGCATTCTGTCTGCACAGTAGCCAACCCGCTGCCTGTGAAAAGCCCACTTGCAGGCACCCTCACACCCATGTTCCCCAGCAACTGGTCCACCCAGGCACACTTTTGCCTATAACCAGGTCACCCAGTTCTTAGCTCCATGGGATGACCTTAAAGTACCAGAATTAGGAGAAAAGAGAAACATTTCTGCTTTTTGAAAGGAAAAAAAAATATCCTGCAGCCACAGAGCAGGGAGGAGAATGAGCTGAAACTACGTCTCCAGTCCTGCTTTTTCTTTCTTTCACTCTTTTGTATATCCTCTTGGCCTTGAAGCGCACCGACTGGGCAACTCTGAGCCAGACACCAATTCCAATTTGAAAATATGCATATGAACCCCTTTGTATTTAGCTCTCCTGCAAGTGGGGAAATCCAGGTTGCCAGCTCTACATTTCCAGACTGGGATTGCTCACCTTTAACATTTCTATAATATCCAGGCACAATACATGCTGGGAATGGTGGTCCCCACTCAATTTAATGGGTGCAAGTGAAGAGGAGATTTAGTTCCGATTCTTTTTTTAAAATTTCATCAAAATTTCTTTGTAAACAAAAGCCTGGCACCTTTTACCTTATGTGGTGGAATTGTGATAAAGCAAAAAATTACCGGGTTAAAATACATAGATGGCTTGGAGAAATGTTGCAGAGACCTGTAATATTTAAACTAGGAATATTTTTGGTTGGCATTCTCCCCGACAATTTCAATAAATGAAGTATATATTTGACTTTGCATGTAATCACAGCGGCGAGGATTGTATGGACAATACGGGAGGAATGAAGAGCTACCGACTGAAGATTTGATTTTAAAGAAGATATTGGACTGTGTGGAAATGGACAGACTGACTTTATCTCTTAAGGAAAAAGAAGGTACATGTTACTATCAAACACGGGACTTTTTTACCGTTGGCTAGAGAAATAGAATTTCAATTAGGGCTGAAATATATAGTAATTGTAGAGAGAATAAGGTTTGTACTCAGTCTTTGGAATAACTATTTGTTTAGAGTGTAGAAAACAATAAAAATTTTGAAACCAAAAAAACATTTTCTAATTTCTTCATCCACAGAATTTTGGAGATTTTAAAAATTCTAATTTGAGAGACACCAACAGGCCCAGGGCTTTTGTACACTAACACAAAGACTCGCAGTGCCAACAAAATTCTGGATTACAACCGCTGCGCTCTGTTTATAGGCTGCTTTCCAATCTGGGGCTGCTGCCTGCCCGAAGGAGAAAAGATAACCTGGAGACAGGACACAGCTATAAATAACTGGACAATCGCTTTCTGACTTCTGACCCCAACGAGAGGAAAAATATTTGGCCATAATGGATTATGTTCTTTCAGGAGCTCTGCCGTTGCATTGTGTTAAAATCCTAGGCGAGGAGCTGGGAAAGACTGTTTTAGTTCTTATTTTCCCCTCCAACGGATGCCAAACCTGCAGGCACACGCCCCATGTGAATTTAGAGGGAATAGGAAAACACTGGCCAAGCCAATAGCCAGAAATTCTGTGGCAAGGGGATTCAATGTGGGTGGGGGGGGGGGGTTTACAGCCAAAAAACCAAAAGGGGAGGCAAGCGAAACCAGTGTGTGGGTGGAGAGATGAAACTGCAGAAAAAAAATCAGTATTATTGGCCCAGCTTATTTCAGCACAGCCAGAAAAGCAGGCCACTGTATACATCTCAAGCTCACCCAGGCCCACATTTTGTTTAATTCATGAGCGTAACTATATTTGGGAAGGTTTTAACAAGACGGAGGTTTCTTAGGAGTGGCCCCCACGCACTCCAAGCGCAGAAACGTCTCCTGCATCCAGCCAACACCACCACCTCTTCGCTGCCAGGGCAAAACTCTCCCAAGCATCTGACAGCACATGATAGGGCCATTCAGATGAGTTGTTTTCTCAGGTCATTATCTTTCACAGTAGGAGTTTTAAAAAATTGTGTACATTAAAGATCTGAAATTATTTGCCGTTGTTTCCACATCCTGCCATTTCCTCTCTTGCAAGAAGCCCACAGCAGTTGAAATGGCCCTCTTCCCCGTGCCGTCTTCATAACAACCCAGTGAGGTAGGCTCTTGCTCGACACTCAAACCACGATACTGCATCGGCTTCCAATGTAGTGTTTATTATGCTGCATTTTGGGGCTGCAATTCTTGCCAACTGCCCAGGGAGTTTTAGCTATTCAGAAGTATAAACCTGAAATTAATTAACAAAAAAATGGCAGCTTCAGGTAGAGAGAGTCCCTGCGCTTCAGCCATGAAGCTCCTTGAATGACTTTGGGCCGCTTGCAAGAGGAAGAAAAGCAGGGTATAAATGTGGGGGAAAGGAAGTGAGCCTGTAGGCCTCTTCGGTCGCTTGCAAAAGCGGGGTATAAATGTTATGCAGTAACAACAAAAATTAATCACAACAACAGTCCAAGGTGGGTGATTTGCAGTCCTCCAACAGCATTAAGGCAGCCCAGGAATGAAATATTAAGCAATATGTCAGAGATCTTGAATCTCGTTCAGCCTGAGGGCCACGTTCCTTTTCAGAGAAGCTGGAGGGCTGTAGTCCAAAGGGGGGGGGCAAGGAGCAAAAGGGGGGAGCCAGGAACACCAGCATGGTTTTGTTGATACCCCCACTGTCAATAATTAAGCCTCAAGGGAGGCACTTTTCAACCCTTCAGAATGCAAAATTAAGCCCATTAAGCACACAAAAAGTGTCAGAAGAGGAGGGTCAAGGAAAGAGGGCCACCCCCTGGACCCCAGAGAGTGGACTGGGCCCGTGTGTGTCCCCACACGATGCATCGTCGGCAGAGAACCCACACAAAATCCCACGCTGATTTCTTGGCCCGCCCAGGGCAGACACTTCTCAAGTGAAGCCGCAAAAACTCACCGGTAGCAGCCTTGGGTGGATTCGCATGTCTGAGCTTCTTCCAGGTTTGGGAATTATTCTTCTTGCTGCCGTGGCTGGACCTGAGAACCACATTCAGAGAACGCTCAAAACAGTACCACCTCGCAGATTATTTCGTAATAAACCAGGCTTTTCGAAGTGGGAAAGAGGTGGGCTGCCACTCTTAGAAGGACGCACACATCAGAGAAAAAGAAGCCCCCTTCTCTTCACACGAACTCAAAGGGCTGCCCGGTGGCATGCTCCCACCTCCTTTTCAGAAGCATCAAAATAATTAATAACCATTGCAACCCAGACTCGTTTTGTGTAGGCATCATTAGCCAGTGGAGCAGTAAGCCAAAAAATGCTCCATCCCCAGGGTTTGGAAGCACTGCCCTGTGAGGAGAGACTGGGAGAACTGGGCATGTTCAGCCTTGAGAAGAGAAGGCTGGGGGGGGGGGGACATGAGATCCCTCTAGAAGAACCTCAAAGGCTGTCACAAAGAGGAAGGTTGGGATCTCTTCTCGCTGATGCCAGAATGTAGGGCACGGAATAATCAATTCAAGTTGCAACAACCCAGATTCAGGCTGGGCATCAGGCTGGGCATCCTCACTGTCAGAGAAACACGACAGTGGGACCAGCTGCCTGGAGAGATGGGGGGCTCTCCCACAGTGGAGACATTCAAAGAGAAACCTGGGCGGCCCTCTGAGTGGGATGGTGTAACCTGGTGCCCTGCAATAGCAGGGGGTGGACCTGATGGCCTTCATGGCCCCTTCCAACTCTAGTATTCTATGATCCCATCCGCCCCAGTCAGGACAGCCAACAGCCAGGGAACTAGAGAGATCTGGTCCAAAACATCTGGAAGACACAAGGCTGCAGGTAGGCCGAACCCAGAGATAGCTTAGCATCTCTCCAGAAAGACAGGTTTAATTTTCGTGCTTTTGTCTCACCGTGGCAAAAGGCCCCACAGGGCCTCACACCCATGATCATGAAATAAAATCCACCACTGTGTAACTGTGCAGTCACACAAAGCCTCAGCCCCCCTCACGCTCAGCTCCAGATACTCACATCCTCGAGAGGTTCAGGGAGACAGCAATCTGAAAAGAAGAGCAGAAGTCAGCATAATAGTTTCACAGGATGCTGTATAAATAACTCAAAGAGGGAGGCTGAGCTGAGCGTCTTTACAGGCCCAGCGTCACCCAGCCAAGGCGCCTCCGTCCCCATCCAGTGCTTTTAACTGGCTGCCTGATATAGCAGAAACCCAGGACACGTATATTGTAGTTACGCTCACACTACTGTGAATCATCGCCTGTTATGTGCACAATAGCACTACGTCTACAAAAACCCGAATGTACGTATTTTAATTTAAAATACCTCATGGCTAAAAATGGCAATTTCCTTCAAGAGCTTCTCCTGTGCATTTACAACTTGGCTAACAGCTCGGCACAAGAGGCTGAGCTTTCGGCCTGCCTCGCATTCGGCATTCGAGGTGCCTTCCTCACGAAGCTTCATGATTGCCAACTTTTGATTTAAAGCGAGAGACATGCAATTAGGGGCCACTGCAGGGCTATCACAGTGCACTAATTGGCCTAATTTCAATCTTATTGAGTCTCAGGTCCCAGGGGGAGAGAGAGAAAACCGCCAGTCAATGGAGCGGGCAAAACACACACATATTCTATGCATATAGTTTATGGCACCCCAGAATAATTCCTGTGCAAAGATACCAGAGCCAGTTCAGTGTAGGGGTTAAAAGCACAGGATTGAGGCTCAGGCAATCCGGGTTCGAGTCCCCGCTCAGCCATGGAGCCAGCTAGGTGACCTTGGGCCAGTCACAGACTCTCAGCCCAACCTACCTCACAGGGCTGGTGTTGTGATGGTAAGATTGAGCGCAGCAGGAAAAGAATGATATAAGCCTCTTTAAGTTTTCTAAGAAGAAAGGTGGGATATAAATCTAATAAGCAAACATATAATACTGTAATAATAATGAACAACTTTGAGAAACACAATGTGAGACAGGGACATGAAATGAGTTACCCCTGCCGGAGAAACAGCACCCCAAAGATGTGGGTGCTCAACTCCAGGTCAAAAGCAGGAAGCGCAATACAGAAGTAAATCTAGATGTTGCGGATCGGTTATTTATTATTTATTATTAAAACATTCCACCCCACAGCAATAAAGCAAAAATAGCAATAAAGCAAGTAGCACTTCAGTCTAACAACTGCAGAGCATAATATCTGTGAAGCACGGTAAAGCACTAAAAAGTGCAATAAAATTAGGTATACCTGTAATCAGCCAGAAAATCATTGGTTGCTATTAGCCAAGATGGCCACCTGCGAAGAGCAGGCAAGGCCATGATCTCAATGCATGATATAGGCGAAGTTTTTCTGGGGTGGAAAGCAACGAACGAGGTCCTTGATTCATGCCACAAGGACACCTGGCATCTACCCACTCCAGAGTGGCAGGGGATGTCACAACGCACAATTGTTCCAGGTGAGCTTAATCTTGTCACCCTATTTTTCTGTACATAAACCCTAAGCCACCCAAAAGCACCTCCAAAATTGAATTAAAAACTATTCTGATCAGTGCAGTTGCCATCTTCAGACGTTTTGCAATTGCAACAGTTTTCTTAAGAGTGCAAACTTATGTTTAGACTGAAAAATGGCTGGCTGGGGAATGCTGAGAATTGCAGGGCTTTTCCCTGGGCTTGTAGCCATGGCTTGGGCTGTAAGTAGGATTTCGGCTTCTATTCCTCCCACATTTTTTATGAACAATTAACAGTTTGCAGTTCTGCCTTCAAGAGGCCGAAAAACTCCGCTACTTCTGTGCCACTAACTACGGGCCCATTTTATTTATTTCTCTCTCTCTCTCTCTCTCTCTCTCTCTCTCTCTCTCTCTCTCTCTCTAAACACACACAGGATGCCACCTTAAACTGAGGCTCTGCAACGAACTGAAGGCGCTACGAAAAACATGAATAATTCGGCCGCTCGGCAGGCCTTACTTCTGCGGAGTCAGAATCCGTCGGGCCCAAAGCAGGCGGCGATTCAACAGGAAGAGCTGCAGCTCCAAGCGTGAGCAACCAGTCGCTTTGCTGGGACATTCAACGGCTACAAAGCCTGCAAAAGCCCGCACGTGCTCCCGCACTCCGCATGCGCAGACCTTGCCTGTGAACGCCACGCCCTCCCTGGGCTGTGGGCGGGGCCTTTTAGGGCGCGAGGGGCGCTGCAACGCGCGTGCGCACTGTTAATCCGGAATGCCGCTCCTGCCCATGTGAAAGGGTTTATTTAGGGTCTTTTTTCTTTTGCATTGTTCTTCTGTCTTAATGTAGGGTTTTATTCTTTCTACCCTTCTACTGGTCACAACCCCAGAATGTGTTTAGACGCTCTATACATGCTGTAAATCGAGTAAATGAATAAATACCAATACAAATATATATTTCCTAAACATTGCTGCTGCGCCTTTTTTCTTCCTCTCTGCTAATTTTTCAATTTCATATTGCCGATGTTGTGCTGTGCATTTTTATATAATGTGGTGCGAGGGAGCGTTCAGTAATCCACATTAAGGGAACCCCATTCCATGCAAAAGCGTGTTTGTGTGAGAGACGCACATTTAATTCCAACTGCCCTTAAATATAATTAATCGGCATGCTAACTCTCCGGCCCACCAAAACGTCAAATTATGTTAAATTTTTTCCCGGTAATTTTTTTTCCTGGTGCAAGCAACGAGCCGTGCGCTTTCAAAAACTCACTTAACTGCTTTTTTGCTCCCTATTCCGCTCCCAATAAACGCATCGCGTTTAATTTCTGGGCTTTTGCAAATTCTCCGCCCATCCGACGCCGTGATTTTGCTGTGCCCGTTTCGTTCTTCTTGCAAGGTCGAAACCACGAGCGGAAGCCGCTAATGCTGCGCATTCAATTGGAGCATGTCTAGTGTCACCCCGAGGAACGCGCGCAAAGTGGGGTGGTTACTCCGGAGTCAATCTCATTGCGCGTTTACACGGATGCAGCCGCGAGGCGCGACGCTGCGTCTCCGCGCTCCTAATTCCGCGCCTAAGCTCGCAGCCCGATCCTGTGCACGGATATGCATCCCGTTTTTAAACAAGGCTGAATGCATTCCTACGAGAAGGCGCGCAGCCCGATCCTGCGACAAGTGGTGCCCAACTCGCTGCATTTACCAGAGAGCAGGAGTCCTGCTGAGTTCAAATGGGCTTACTCTGGAGTAACAGGCACAATCCTGCGCATCTTTATGTAGAAAAAAGGCCTACAACTCAAAGACCCTTTACATTTAACATAATGTGTGACTGCCAGAAATTCACCTGCTGCACTTTCCCACACACCCGGTCAAATTGTTGAGAAGCTCTACCTGTTGTATTTCTACCTGCCATTTGTAAAAAAAACTCACCAAACCTCTATGAAGAAAAAGAAGCAAAAACCTGCACAAGATATCAGTGATTAATGTTCACACAAACACATCATATAAATGTCTCATATTTCAACCCAATATCTGATTTCCCTCATGTGCCACTGAAAGAATCCCATGTATTCCTCTTGTGTGCCTGCACATGTGGGAAATCCTGCCTTTGCTTTCTCAAACCTTACTTCCTTTCCCTATTTACAGTTCATGCTGATGAACATTAAAAAATAAAGTGTATAACATTTTAATTAATAACACTAAATCTTGGAAGGAATTTACATTTATAACATGATAATTATGGTTATTTGTTTTCCTCTTCCCTCCCCACTGCATTTCCCTTGTATATCGTGACTCTGTAAATTGTGAACCTGGGAAAAAAACTTTCCTGTTCCAGATATTACATGTTAAACATCTCTGAAGAATGATATTAATTAAAAAGACACTCCAAAGAAAGGATGAAGAACATGCCTGCCAGATGAACACCTAGAAAGTCTGTTGGGCTACTCAACCATGATCACAGCAACACATACATGAAAAGACATGATATGCCCCCCACACTAGCGCCCCTCAGATGTTTGTACACTGCAACCCCTAGCATTCCTGACTCCTGGCCATACTGGCTAGGGATAATGGGAATCCAAGTTGGGAAGTCTGGTGCACAGAAATTTATACATGGATGCGTACAGAAAAACGTTAGTCGTTTATGGGTGGATTGCGGGGGTTGATCAATAGTTTCTAGAGTTTTTAATTCGGTCCGACCAGTTTTATGGTTAATTGTGTGCGAGCGCTTTGCTTTAAATACTGGAATGGTACAGATTTTCTCCCACTGGGAACCGCTCAGGACGCTTCGGCTACTGAAGCGCCATAGAAATGGAATATCCCATAAACATTCATTATGAATATTCATAGTAAACAAAGGAACGATCCTAAGCGGACTTATAGGGCTGTTTTCCTGTCTCCACTGACATAGGATCTCGCTCTACAAACGGCACTGTAGCCTTTGCCGGAGAATGGATAGCTGAATTTCCAAAAAGGGGGCCCCTTTTGGCAGAACGAGGGAGCATAAATAAAAATATCATCTGGATCGTCGGTAATAAGAACAGCAACTGGACGGACGCAAGCTGGACGGAGAGCGGGGACAGCGAAAGGGAGGAGAAAGCGAGCGCTTCCGCGCGACAACTTGCAGAGCCGCGCCGCGCACTGCGCGCATTGCGCACGCCGCTCCCTCCACGGCTGCACCGCGGACGGGACGGGCCGGGCCGGGCCGGGACCCCTGGCGGCGAGGCGGGCGAGCCCCGCCGCCCCCTCCGGATCTGGGCGTGGGGGAACCTTCGCAGCGCCGGCCGCCCTTTCGCCTTCCCCGTCCGGCGGCTGGCGAGCGAGCGAGCGAGGCGCCTTGGAAGCGGCCGCCGGAGAGCCAGCCGCGCCCGGTGCCGCCACGGCAAGAGGTAAACCTGGGCCGGAGGGCGCCACGGGTCGCCCCCACAGTCGGGCTGGGTGAATAGCGGGGCCGGGAGAACCTCTGCTGGCACGTGCGCGACCGCCCCCCCTGCGCCCCATATCCGGGGAGTCAAAGATCCCTCCCCTTTCTCCTGCTTGCAATAGGAAAAAACCTTGGGACACCCTTCCCTTGTTTCCTGCATCGCACAGGACCTAAGACGGAGAAGCCTCCATTGGCGCCAGACTCCTCCCGAACGCGGCCCCTCCACGACTGGCTTGAAGATAACCCAACTGGCCCGGGTTTCTCTTTGCCCAAGCCCACCCAGATCTACCCATTTACTGGGGCAGAAAGACAAAACATCGGGAAGTCCCAAAGCCTGCTGCTGTGTCCATTTCCCCCTTCCCATCCAGGCCTTGCATCCCCCCGCCCCCATTCCACCTTTTTTCCCCCCAAAGATGTGTTACCAGCATCTTTGCCCTCCTGGCTGGTAAATTCCACCCCTTTTATCAGCTCCTTGATTATTAAATCCAGGGTGGTAAAAACAACAGCGAAAAAGGGAGGGAAGAAGCAGTTTGTCGTGTGCTCGCCCAAGTTTGGCCCTGATCCTGGCCAGCTCCTCTCCTCCCAGGCCCGGGGAATGCCGTTCCCATCTTCTAGGCGCTCGGCCGGGCCTTGCCATTCTCCAGCCCTCTCCGAGTTCCTTGGGTGGCTCACGGGTCAACACGGAGCTAGACACGCCTGCACCCTGTCCTCCAAAGCCCGTCTCTGCCAGTCCTGGGGCAGGCCCCACGGCGTCTCCGCCTCAGTGGCCCCCCGGCCTTAGCTTCTGCTCCCGTGACCCCACAGCCCCCTGGCGCTCCCCAGCCCCATGGCAGCCAAGTGGTTCAAGGAATTCCCGTCCAATTTAAAAACGGTTTCGGAGCGTGCCAAGTGCAGTGCCTCCCGCAAAGGGCTAGCGGCACCCGAAGCCGGCACAGCATCGCTGCCGAGCAAGAATCGCAAGAACTCGGCCACGGAGCTGAGTGGCCTTCGGACACTGCTGGCGCCAGGGAAGGATGGCGGGGGCAGCCGACTGTCGCGGGACAACCTGCAGGGCCTGCTGCAAGCCGCCACGGGGAAGATACGCAAAAACTCCCGGGTGGACGGGGCCCCGCCGGAGGAGCTGGCCCGGGGCGCGGCGAAAGGCTGTGGGACCTACATCAGCCGGCTCATCAAGGTGGAAGCCCACGAGAAAAACGGGAAAGGTTACACCGGGACTGCACCGAACCCCAGTCCACTTCCTGCACCGGAGCCAGAGAAACCGAAACAGGAGACGGTAAGGGCCAAGCATTCTCAAGGGCGCTCTTTCCAGGATGCCAACCTAGCTCAGAACTGTTATTAATATTCCTATTTCCTTCCTGTCTCAGAAGGGGGAAAAGCCCTCCGGGCACCTTAGATGACTGATTTAAAGGCACTGAAACAATGAATACTAGAATCCCATAAGCCAACACTTCATGAGCAGCATGTCCAGAAATGCCTGGAAGTAGAGCAAAGTCTTAACCTGGTGGAGAGAGCATTGCATAACCAGGGGACCCCCCACCCCCAAAAGTCCTCATTATTGTCCTCTGAACCTCCCTCAGATGTTGATAGCAGTGTATGGAGTGGGCTTTGTATCCAGAATTTGTGCATAGGGCAGACTCTCCCTTGCCTTCCCGGCTGTCTGCATTTGGTTTTGCTACCCAATTAACCTCGGTGCCCCTTCCTTGCCGCGTCAGCACCCGCTTCCTTCTGTGATTCCTTCCCTTCTCTTCTGACACACATGCCCCAAAAGAGAAGGGGGCCAAAAGCTGGTTAATCTCATCAAAAGAGAAAGCGAGAAGAACTGTATTTGCTGCATCCGCAAGCCCCTTCATCCTCTGCCCGCTTGGCTAAGCTAGGCTTTAAATTCACAGAGTTCTAATTACACAGAATAATTACAGGAACAAGAAGAGAAAATAGAGGAACACTGTCCAGACAGATGGGTTTCTTTGAGCCGAGGAAGTCTGAAAATGAAGATGTATTTAAATAGGGGATGTAGGAGGTTTGGAAATTAGAAATGATTACTTTGATTGTGGAAAAAGGGCGGCATTAATGGATCTGATGTTCATGGTTTCATGCTGAAGGGCATCCGTGTTAAGAAGTTTTCAGTTCTGGAGAGATATTTCTATTTCTTTTTCTTGAAGAGCCAGTCATAAATAGAATTTCACAAATGACCCACATCAGAATGCCTTTAATATATGGAAGTTCTTCATTTATTTTATTTATTTTTGGATTGATATCCTGCGTTTTTCCTACAAAGGGTTCAAGGCAGCTTACATCTCCTTCATCTTATCCCCACAACAACAACCCTGTGAGGTAGGTTGGGCTGAGAGTCTGTGACTGGCCCAAAGTCACCCAGTTGGCTCCATGGCTGAGTGGGGACTCGAACCCGGATCACCCAAGTCCCAGTCCCATGCTCTTAACCACTACATCACACTGGCTTCATTATTCTTATAAAAGCCTTAACCCCTTAGGTGATCCAGTTTTTTAATGGAAGGCATTATTTCTGCTATTCCTGATACGCTGGCTGTGAGGTCCAGGTACCAGAAAAGAAGCCTGCTGCATTTTCTACATAACAGCATTTCCAGTCTTTGAAACTACCTACATTTCCCCTTCAGTCTGTCCTCCATGCAGAACACACCTTGTGCTCTTCAGCTGGGCTTCTGACAGGCCCGGCTGGGTCTCTTTCTAAGGCCCTGCAATGGTCTCCTGCATGACAGACTCCATCACAGGCAGGTAATTCTGGTCCCCCATTGTGGCATCAATCAGCCACTCCCCGCCCAGAGACTCATCAAGGAGAATGGGATAGCTTCAGAGGAGGCTGCCCAGTGCCTCTCTGAATGAGTCGCCATGCAGGGCATGCAATGATTCCAACAGAACTCTGCACCCAGAATGACAAGGGAAACCTGCGAAGTTGCCCTGGGCATTGGATTGCTCTGCTCTCCAGAGTTTTGGAAAGGGGTTCTTCCCAGCTGCCGCTGGAGGCATGGGGAACTGGACTGGGGGCCACTGGTCTGCAAAGCGAGGGCTTTGCCATGGAGTGTTGGCATTCCTCCAAGGCCAGGGAGCAAGCTGCATGTGTCCCCCAGGATAAAGACAGCTTGTTTCTCGGCCCACTGCATTAGGGTTGGCGGCCACACAAAAAGAAAAACGGAGATGTGTAAGAAAACAAGGCACTCATTTGCAGCTTGCTTGGAAACAAAATCCACCCACCCCCAGAAGCTTCTGGGGACGCAATTCTGCTTGTAAACTAAGCAGGGGTTCCCTGTTCGCCACTTTTCCCCCTTTCTAGCTTCTGCAGCATTTTAGCAGGATTATGAGGCAGGGGGATTTTCTCCCTCTATCCTAGACCACAAAATTACCCAGAAGCCGCCTATTATCTCCGTTCGTGACCTGCAGCTCCAACATTGCCTCCCAGTCACTCCACATACTTTAAATTTCAGGCTTTTTCTGGGGTCCGAGGCCTCTTTCATCCTTGACTGATCATGATTACTTATTTCTTATTCCTTCTACGTGGTCCTGCCAGGAACAATGCACCAAAAGATGGTATATAAGGAATGAACGCACCATGGACCTCTAGGTCTAACTCAGAAAATGCCCTGCTCTGTGTTTAGAAGGTAAACGTGAAGATACTGAGCAGGGGACCATTTGGGACCCCTCGAACGGAGTCCCTCTCTGCTCGAAGACAGATGTGCAGCACACACATCCGGTGGATTAATTCTGCCTTCCTTCCCGTGTTCCCCGTTAAAGGTTATTATCCTCGAGGATTACGCCGACCCTTACGATGCCAAGCGAACCAAGGGGCAGCGCGATGCGGAGAGACTAGGAGAAAACGACGGCTACATGGAGCCCTATGACGCACAGCAAATGATTACCGGTAAGTGTTCTTTCGTCTTGGCTGGGAAGGGGCGCTTGCCGTGCCCATCACAAAATGGGAAGAATCCGATAAACGCGGCCACACACACACACACACACACCCTTTTCCGGGCTCCTGCAGAGGGATCGGCCCTGGCGCCCTGGTGCTGATGGCACCCGCCCTCATGTTTGGGAGCACTGGGTTCGAATTCTTGTCCCGCCACTTCCCGGTGGCTCGGCCGTCCTTGCGCAAGCTTCAGACGGGTGGGAAGGTCCACCCGCGAGCCTCTTTGAGATGCTGAGCCGAGCAGGAGATAGCGGGACAGATTCGGAAACTGAGGCTGCCATGAATTGTTCGGAGCAAAGGTCATCTCTGGACATTTCCGTTTATATTCCCAAATAAAGCAACACCCATGAGGGTGGGGGGAAAAGAGTCGGTGTGTTTTCATTTACAAGGCCTGCTATCAAAATCTCTCCCCCAGCACCCACAATCAATTGATTTAGCACCTGGGTTTTTTTGTTTTGTTTTTTTAAGTTTCTGCTTACCACAACCTAGCTGAATCTGGTGCCTTCCAGATGGGTAGGACTACAAGCCCCATCCTTTGCAGCTGCCGTGGCCATTTTACAGCCAAACAACACAATGGCTGAGAGATAAGTTCTCGGCCCAAGAACAGCACCCCGCTTGGCGTTCGAAACATGTCTCCTTGGGGCTTTCAGTACCAAATCTAATTTTGGTTGGGACTGAAGGAAGCAACTTGGGTTGTTTTGGTCTTAGCAAACCTGGAAGGCTGGCCTGTTTTTGTCGCAAGGAATCAGGAAAGAGCCCTGGGTGCAGGCGGGTGTCTTTTCTTTTGAGAAAACTAAACCGGTTTAATAAACAGATCCAAAATTGCCTCTTTTCTCCTTCTGCTGCAAAATGACCTTGCCAAAATAGGTTTAAGGAGGGTGTCAGAAAAGCATTCTGGTTTTGTTCTGAGAAAGCACATAAAGGGGAAAGCAAATTTTCAGCACAGCTGAGAAGAGGGAACACCGACTTGGGAGGGAGAAAAAAGAAAATGGGAAAAAGAAAACCGGGTCAGGAAGGCAACTTTCTGTTTCCTGTCTCTCTGCTGGAAGAGATAAGGTCAGGCTGGGTGTTTAAAAAATGGTGGGGTTGGAAGAGAAAAGGGGCAGCTGTGTTGGGAATGACTGGAGGGTCAAGGGATCCAAACCTTGTGGCAGCCACAGCAGGGTCGGCTATGGTGCCATTGGGGTGTGATTCCAGACCCAGTGTCCGCTGGGCCCATGTGGCCAGATGGCTCCCAAGTGTGGCAGGCAGAGAGAGCAAAAAAACAAGCCATATTTTAATAAACAATATTCCTTCACACCCCACTTCCAGGAGCCAAAACAAGTAAACTCCAGGGGGAAACCCTTCAAATTCTGTCCCAAAACCTGCAGAAAAAAATCTAGGCATGACCAATTCATACAAGAATTGTACCAAATGCAGAGAACTGCGATACCCTGAGAAATATCAGTTTGCTCATTTGCAAACCCTGGGAAATATCAGAGTTTGGATTGGCCCCACAGAGGTAAATGGCATCAGTTGCCCAGTGGGAAAGGCAAAGTGGGAAGACAGAAGGAGGCCAAGGGCGGTGGGGCCCTTTTGCCAGCCCTGCTGGCAGACCACTTAATTTTTTTCCTTTACCCTCCCCATCTGCTTTTCCTTGTGTGTTATGTCTATTTAGACTAAGTCTGTGAGCAGAAACTGTCTGTTTTGCTGATCGATCCTGAGCTGCTCTGGGACTGTTGGGTTTTGTTGGGGTGGGGGATTAAGGAACAGGATAGAAATGCCTTGAATAGATAAGTAACATACTGGAATTTCTTTATGTCAAACCAATTATAGCCCAAGATGTGAGAAAGGGAAGGATAAAAAGACAGGCACTCTTATGTGACTGCAGATTCTCTATGCAGGCTTAAGGTGAAGCATTAATCTAGCTTCCTATTAAATGTATGTGATATTATTGTTTCATTTAGATACATATTTCATTTCTAGAAAGTCCAATAGCCAAAGTTGTCTGGGTAATTTGCAACAATTCACAAAAATATAGACCACAAATAAAATAAAATACAATTTAAGAGCTAAAAGAATTTCAACAGAAACAAGACCTATTTTCCTCTAAGGCACCCAGGATGGCTTATGAGATTCTCCTCCTGCCCATTTCGTCTTCACAACAATCCTATAAAGGACATTAGGCTTTACAGAAACTGAGTTAGCGATTGCCCCACTCCAGTGACCTTCATAGGGACTAGAATCCCAATCTTCCAAGTCCCAGTCAGAGCACCGTAACCAGTTCCCCACACTGGCTCCCTGACTTAAGGATGATGTTGCGCTACGGCAATTTTAGGGTCTAGCTAGATGGTCTTATTGAAGGATCTGGGGAGGAAGGGCCCCTTTTTCTTGTGTGTTACTTTGCTTACTTCAAAATGTGTGGTAAGAAGCCACCCGAGCATGTGCTCTCAAAAAACACCCATAACTCGGGGTTGGGAAATCGCCTAGCAACCACCGGATGCCTTCCCTCGGCTCCCAGGCCTTTGGCGTCCCCACCCGGAGCTGACACAGCCAGGCAGAATAACAGGAAACCGGAGCACCGGAAACCCGAGTCGGGGCAGGGCGATGTGGTGGTGGGGACGAGGCGCTAACACATGTGGCCTGGGAGCCTTTTTGGAGGTTTCACGCTCAGGAGTGTCACACCTCATCTGCTCTCATGACTTTTTGTCATTAAAAATAGCTGTTCCTGAAGCGTGGCTTGGCTCTTCGGGACCAGTTTCTGAGCATGTGCGAAGTGCTTTCCCCTTCCAATGGAGTCAAAGGCAGTGCCAGCAAATGCTCAGCTCTCTTCCAAACTTAGCTATTTGTTGATCAGGGACCATTCCTGTTTCCAGAAATGTGTCCCAGGGGCTGATCAGTTTCGGAGGAGAGCCGTTCCTCCTCCTCCTTTGCAGGTGTTGACTCCGAAGTGTGCTCAAGACACCTCACTCCAAGGAAAATACAGGTTTAGTGCATTTATTTCTGTGCATACAAGAGATTGCACACACTTTCTCCCAGACGTTAAGCAGCACGAAGTACAGGCCCCCAGAGAAAGCCAAGACGCATGAAGCATTTTCACGTCCATGTGAAAGCAGGAGTGGGGCTTATAACTCGTCTAGGGCCGTGTGGGCCCCAAATGCTTCGCTTTGCACTGCAAGAAGCAAATGCCGGTATCCATGCACACAGTCGAAAACAGAGGGGTCCCGTTCTTACCTTCTGCTTCCCTCCCAGAGATCCGGAGGCGCGGTTCGAAGGACCCCCTCGTCAAAGCGATCCTGCTCCTGGACGAGCCGGGGGACCCAGCGGCAAAGGGGGATGCGGCCGCGAAGCGCCCGGGGGCCAAATCGCCACAGCTCTATGACACCCCGTATGAGCCGGCGGAGGCAGGGCCCAAGTCGGAGGCACGGCTTCCGGAGAACGACGAGCGGCCCCCGGCCGAATACGAACAGCCCTGGGAGTGGAAGAAGGACCAGATTGTGAAAGCTCTCTCAGGTTAGCAGGGGGAAGCATTCGCATCTGGGGCTTGGGGGAAGTTGATTTGGAAGTTGATATACCACCCCATTGCCAACCGGGCTCTGTAGGAACAGATATCTCTGTGGTCGCCTATGGCGAGTTGAGGATTTCTTCCAGGCGACTAGACAGAGAAGTCTTAACAGACGTCAGATCTTATTTATTTGTTTGTTTATTTAAACAACTTATATGCCGCCCCATCGCATGAGCCTCAGGGCGGCTTACAATTTTCTGCTTCTTTCTTTCAGACTAATGAGTATAGGTGGGTGGACAGGCTGGTATTATGGGCTAGAAATAGGGACAGCTTGCCTAAGGAGAATCTTCATCTTTTTCTCAATCTGCACCACCGCGACGTACAGAAATTCAACAGAGGACGTTTTACCACAGAGATGCAGGTGTAAATGCACCTGCACCCATTGAATTTCTGCCTGTCACCAAACTGATGAAGGCAGAACTGAAGTGAATATGATCATGTCTTTGAATGATAATATCATTTTTAAAGCAGTGGCTTCGTATCGACAGAACTGGAACTTCCAACAGGGCCACAGGGGAACAGCAAGGAGTGTTTACAATTTTCAGGAGAAAGGAAATAATTCACTCCGCAGATTTCCCCCCTTCTGCAAAGTTGAGGTGCCGTTCTGTTTAAATCCTTGGCTGTAATCGTTTAAGCTCAAACATGCAGTTCTGTTGGACTTCCTGGCCCAGCTTCCCTTCGCTCTGGCTCTGCCCACTGCGGAATTCCCTGAAACAGAATTTGGCCCCCGGATTGGAAGAGCTTCTGCGTTCCTGCCTTTCAGCAGCCTCTCCCAACCTGGGACTGTCCAGATGTGCTCGGGCTTGGGCACAACTCCCATAACAGCTAGGCAAGCTTGGGCTGCTGGCTGGGCATGATGGGAGATGTAGTCCAATCCGTCTCGAGAGAACCGCTTGGATGAAACATTAAAATCACAGACGGCGCTTGCTCGCTTGCTTGCTTGCTGTGAATTTGGAACAGCCCCGTTAGTGTGTGCAAACTCCATGCGGAGTCGGGGCCCCTTGCCCTGCATGTCCTGGAAGCGCCCAGCTGTGCCCCCAGCTAGCGCCGGACCTCCCATAGCCCTGGTGGTACTTTGTCTTGCTTTCCAGTGCAGTTTGAGGGGTCGGAGAAGCCCATGGCGCCCAAGGACGAGGGGCTGGTACTGCCACGGCATCGCCGCCAGAGGAGCTGGCCCTCCAAGATGGTGAAGCCGACAGTCACGGCAGAAACTGGAGCAGAAGGGGAGCGCGTGGATCCAGCTGTTGCCCTTGAGAAACAGCCGTAAGTCACCTGACCTCTGTCCAGTGGAGGGGGGGTAGGGGGCAAACTATTGCCCCACTGCTCACCTGAGCTTCCAGCACCCAAATTCGATTTCTGTGTATCCTGTCCACTAAGCAACTGGCTCAGTAGCTGAGCGTCCAATTTTTTGGTCTTCTGTTAAAGTCAAGTTGCTAGTCCTTGTTGAGCCCTAAAATATAAGCTAGAAATCTCCCCAGGCCTGTCTGCTCCCTGAATTTCCTTTTTGCAAATATTTTCCGTACAGAAGAATAAAAAGAGGAGTGGGGGAGTTCTAAATGTATTTGAAATGCTGGACTAAAGTAGGAATGCAAAATTTAGCCAATATGCTGAATCTGCAAGTTAGTTTTCACTTTAGCAAAGTACTAGTTTTATGCATGTTTGCACAGGATTCACCATGGGTAGTTTTATCAGCTCCTTGATTCTTACAAGCCTTTTAACTGCTGAAATTTTAATCTACGTGGTTGAGAGAGAGAGAGAGAGAGAGAGAGAGAGAAGACATACCCTTCTTTCATATTCATTTGGAGATCTGGCAGCAGAACTAAGAGCCTTTACTTGCAAACCGAAAAGAAAAGTAAGTTTCTATCCCTCAGGGTAGAACCAACAGGGATCTTGACAGCTCTTGCTAAATGGTTACAGAATGTGCAGAGGGGCTGTTCTGGAGCAAAACTTTCCCATTTAGCAGAAAGTTCAAGCAACCATACCTTTGAGCAAAAACTGTTCAGTTTTATTCTGTGCCACACTGTGGACTAGAAACTTGTTTGGACCGAATGAAACCTCCTGAATGCTATGTTAGAAGCACTATTCTATTCCCTGCAGACTAGAAGGCGTTTGCATTCTTCCTACCAACCTTTCCTTGCTATTTCCTGCACTGTAGTATCATTCCCCTGTATGATAACAAGTCTCTGCATACAAAAAATTGAAGGAAAAAATTAGCTAGCCTTCTTGCTGATGCACACACCTTTTCATAGAGAGATTGGCTTGCTTATGAGAGAGAAAGAGAAGTTCACTACTTATTATTAATATTAATATTATGACCATTACCTTTATTTCTATACCACACAATAGCCCATTGAATATGACTATTGACTGTTAAAATGAGGAAGATGTTAACCCAGTATATCCGATGTCTTAAATAATCGTCGTTTTTAAAGTTAGATTTTAATGAAAACAATAAAATTTATTTTAAAAAAAATAGCCCACTCCTGCCTGGAGTCTGAGCCCATTCAACTCAATGTATAAGTAACCTTGAAACACTTAGGGACAGATGGAGTCTTCCTAATGAAGACAGAACCAGTGAGGGCTACAACAAAATGTTGCAGCATGTCATTATCCTGAGCAGGAGCCCGCCGGCCAGCCACGCCAAGCCCTCTTCTACCATCCTCCATTCCATTCCCCTGCACCCCCGTTTTCTGCCCCTCCGCCATTGCAGCCAGCCGGCAAGCCAAGGCCACGGAGCCTGCTGGGGGGCTGCCAGACCCCGACACGCACCGCAGGGTCCCCCCACCCCCAAGACGTGTCTTTTCTGCCCAGAGAGGTTCTCGCAGCTCTGTTCTGTCAGGGAATACGCCCTTTGCGCCACCTGGAAGTCAAAACCAGAAGGGATGGCAAAGTGCCGTTTGCTTTGCAAGAACAACGAAGGAGAGGAGCCCCAATACTGGAGATTTACAAGAGGGAAGATCCTGGGCAGAGAGTGGATAAAGAGGAGCGCGCGTCTGCTCTCAAAGCATCAGGGGCGACTGATGCATGGATGGATTGGCAGTGGGTTCAAGGACTGACGGAGGAGGGCAGGACGAGTGACTTGCCGTGGGAATTGCCGTGGTGACTAAAATCAGGCGCTTGTTTTGTTGAAGGGAAGGGGATTAGGGGACAGAAATCCTCGGGTGATCGAGCTCTTTTCTCAGGTCACAGAAATGGAGCATCCGTGTTCAACAGCGCCCTACCTGTGAGACACCCCAGTCCTGGGGATAGGCAGGAAGAGGCCTGTGGCCTTTGGGGCGAGCGCAGGGGCTTCTCAAAGTTCCTCCGGCTGAACCCTGTCGGAAGCAAAGCACTGGGTTCCCCCTCCACAGTTCTTCCACTCCTGCATTAAAAGCCCTTTTCTCTCCCTTCCCTAAAGAGCTTGAAATGCCCATCTTGAGGTTGGTGTCCGGCGGGAAGCGAAACGGGGGGGGGGCTCTGTGGCTCCGCCCCTTTTGCCTTCGGCTCCGCCCCCCACGAATGTGGCCCCCCAGTGCAGAATCCGGCCCTCGGGCCAACCGGCGTTCGGCACCCCGCAGCCGGGAATGGGCCCGCCTTTCCTCCTCCGGGAAGCTCACCGTGTCCTTCCCCCCGCAGCTGGTTCCATGGCGCCATCACACGAGCCGAGGCAGAGAGCCGCCTGCAGCCGTGCCGGGAGGCCGGGTACCTGGTGCGCACCAGCGAGACGGGGACCAGCAAGTACTCCATCGCCCTCAAGTGAGTGCCTGGGCTCCGGCCGCTCAGCCCGCGAGGCTAGCCGTGCTCGGAGCTGTACGTGAGGAAGCGGGCGTGATCTGGGGCTTCTGCAAGGGGCCTGAGACAGGCATGATCGGGGTGGTGGGAGGAGGACGAGGGAGGCCCGGAAGGGGAGGTCGCTGAGGGATAGAGAGGGGCTCCCCCCGTTGTCGAGGGTGGAGGGAAGACTGGTGTGCTTCCTGGCTAAGCCACGAGGAAGAGGAAGATGAGCTGCTCGCAAGGATGGTGGTGAAAACTTACGGGGGAGGAAGGCCATAGAGGGATCTTGCCCACGAGTGGACCCTCCAGGACTGGCACAGGAGGCCCCTGGCCCTTCCACCCCAGAGATGCACAGCAAAGAAGCACAGACCTGCCCCTTGGCAGCGCAAATGGTATTTCTGAGCATGTACAGAGTGTCTCTCCCTTTCCAGAGTGGCCTGTGCCCTTTGAATGAAGGCATGGGGCTTCCGTACAGGATTTGAGCACCAGTGCCCAGTCTGTCTTGGGCTCAAACACTCCTTCTGCTCCCTTAAAGTAAGCCAATGTTTGGGCACCCGGACCCTGGTTGAGACATGTTAGGGTACCCATAGACTTGGCTTGTGCTGGCACCAGTGAATCATGTAGCTTCCCTTGAAAGCAAAGAAAGCTTCTAGTCCTCATTGTTCTGGTAAGGGTTGAATTAAATAGCAACTCAGGAGGATGATTAATACCAAATCCATCTAGCTCAGGATGGTCACCACCACCCTTTCCCCATTTGGGTTACAGCTCCCAGCATTCCTGGCCACGGGCCCTGCTGACTGGGGCTGATAGACGTGGAAGTTCCAAATGCCGGGAGGACCATGAGGGTGGGGCAAGGCGTGTTTGCTGCACTGATGGACAGACCGTCCTCTCCAGGGAGCCCAGATTGCGGGGGGGGGGGGGGGGGGGGGGGTTTTTCCGGCCGGGGGGGCGGCCCGGCCCCCCCGGGGGGGCGGGGGGGGGGGGGGGGGGGGGCAAGGTGTGTTTCTCCTGACCCTACCTGGAGATGCCAATCAAACCTGGGATGACCTGCTTGCAGGACGGGCTCCCCTGCCCACCCCAGATAACCTCCGTGCCTCTGGGCATCTTTTATTTGCTTGCCGTTCAGCCAGGGACACTGCTGGGTCGAACCCTGCCATAGAGGGACTGGGATCGGGGAGAAAAGACCCCCCCCCATGTTCTTTCCTTTCCTCCTTTGACCTTTCCACCCCGGCTGAATCTGTGCCACTGCAGCCCCGTCCAGCCGGACTCCCGAGCGGAGGATCGGGTGGTGTGGGTGCGGCCTGTGTTTCCTTCCTCAGGATGCTGAGCTACTGCCTTTGAAACAATTGGAGTAGGGAAGGGAAGGGAGTCGAAACAGAACAAAAGCCCAGAGAGGGAGAGAAGGGGGAGAGGGAGAGAGAGATGCTGAGCTGGTGCAGAGGCGGGCCGGGATGGCAGTCAAGGCGCCGGATCCTGGAAGGGGAGAGGCAGCCGACGCTGGCCAGTTCCCCAAGGATTCCTCCTCTTCCATGTCTCACTAACGGGACCGTGATTCAAGCCAGGACCTACAGCATCCCTGGGCCGTGATGTTTCGCCTTTAGGGCAAATTCATAGGCATTCCTACGCGATTTAGGCAGAAGCAAGTCCGCCCAGCACCGGGTATCTTGAGTTCACCTCTTCTAGCAGTGAGCTGGGTCCTCGCTCCGTTCTAACAGCGCAGGGAATGCTGGGAATTGTAGGCCTTTTCCCATCTAAATTTGGATGGGATGCATTGGAGCAGCAGCATGAAAAACAGGACTTGAGGATGGAAGCACCAGCTGCTTGGGGGAAAGCCACAGGGGAGAGGTGCAAAAGCACCTCTCCTATGTTCCCCAGCAGGCAGCCTCTGATACTGGAGGTAGCTTAGATCCATGAGGACTAGTAGCTATGGATATGCCTGGAAGAGAAGGCTAGTCGTTCCTGTTCCCTTTTAAAGCCATCCAAGTTGGTAGCCATCTTGGAGACATGAATTTCACTGGGTGGACAAAGTGGAGAAGCTCTTACTGTCCTGAATCTCCCATCAAGCAGCGTCGTCGGATGACCCCAGTGTGGCCTAGAATTACGAGGGAGGGAGAAAAAAAATCTACTTTTTCCACCCCAGGCATAATTTCTGTACACCTCTGTCATGTCTCCGCACCTACCTTCTAGGCCAAACCATCCCAGGTCCCAGAATTATTCCCAGAATTATTCCCAGTTGCCCTTTGCTCCTTTTAGAACAAGATCAAACTACGTATGTTAAAAAGTACCTTGAAAAACCACACACAGATGCAATAAGCTGCAGCCAAACCCAGTTCCCCCAAGGCCTCTGCTCCTTTCCCCCAACTGCTAACCATTTGGGGGTCTCCCGGGCTTCTGTGTTGCATTGCTCCCATTCGCAAACATGGCTTTGCTCCGAACAGGAAGAGCTTCAAGAGCAACCAGGCTGGCGGTTGGGGCCGCGTCCCTTTTCCCTCGGGCTCTGGAACGCGGCCCTCGAGTCCTTGCATTGCCGGTTCACGACTCCGAGCTGGAGTTGCGAGTCCCTTCGCATCAAGCGGGGCGACTTGGCCAGGGAGGTGGGAAGGGGGCAAACAGGGCGCCCTCCCTGCCTTTAAAGACACACTGCTTTTCTTGCCCCACCAGGACCAGCCAGGGCTGCGTCCACATCATAGTGGCCCAGACGAAGGATCACAAGTACACCCTGGACCAGGCCGGCGGCGTCTTCCACTGTGTGCCCGAGGTGGTGCGGTTCTACTCCACCGAGAAGCTGCCCTTTAAAGGAGCCGAACATATGACCCTCCGTTACCCAGTGCCGGCCCCCAGCAAGGCCCACTAGCCCTCGCCGCTCCCCTCCTGGCGTTGGAACTCTCTTGGCCGGAGAACCCGCGGAGGACAAGGGACCCCCCGGCAGGCAAGCGACGGCCACGAATCGGCCGAGGCCCCCCTCCCCGGCCTCGTCCAGGTCTTTCCCGGCTTCCGTCGCACCCTAGCACGACCTCGGCACTCCTGGCAAAGAGCCAGGGCTACGAAGGCGAAAGCGAGCCCATTCAGCTCTATGGGGCATGAGGAGTGGGTTTGCAGGCCGGGATCTTCTTGCCTGGTATGCTGCAGTCAGCAGTCTGCCCCAGTACAGCCCCAGAGTACCTTCCCTTGCTTTCTCCCATAGGAGTGAATGGGTACCGTCGGGGAAATGCACATCTACATGCCCTGACCAACGTCATGTTAACCCTTCGAAAGGGAGCAAAGGGGAGTCACTCCAGTCTTTAATTCAAAGGGTTTCCCCCCCAGAAAGGTTTGTTTTTTGTTTTTTTAAAGCCTTGAAGTGGCCAGGAGGTGATAAAAAGAGCCACTTTTTAAAAGACTAATTCTTTCAGGCACTAGGTTGAGAATAAGTTGCCTAAATATTTAACTCGCTGGAGAAGAGCCTGATTCTGGGAACGATTGGCAGCAAAATTGTTGTAAGCCGCCCCAAGGCTTCGGCGAATGGGGCGGCATAAAAATGTTTTAATTAATAAATAAATAATAAATAAATAAAAGGAGAAGGGGGCGGCAGAGGATGAGGTGGCCGGATGGGGCCCCTGGGGCGGTGGGAGGGGGCTTGGGTGGACTCCGAGGGACGGTGGAGGACAGGAGAGCCTGGAAGAAGGTTGTCCGTGGGGGCCTGATGGGTCAGACACGACTTTTCGATTAAACGAAATAAATATTTGACATTTCTTCAAGTGAACAATCCTAGAATGACCAGGGGTGTACAAGGCATTTTCCATATCAATAAAAAAAAATCCCCAGGGATTGCGAAGGCACATGGGCTTTCTTAGTGATCGCCGCACTGCGGGGTTGGAGACTTGGCCGCTGGGTCCCACGGGGACTAGATGGGAAGGGGGCCAAGCAAAGAGGAAGGGGGCGGTAGAAGGGGGTGAGGGCAGAAGTGGCATAGAAACAGAGCAAGTCAGAAGGGGCCTCCTGGGCCATCTAGTCTGACCCCCGAATGATTGGAAGGTTCGCGGTGGCAGCACCACAGACCCCAGGGGGTGCGAAGGCTTAGCCTGTGGGGTGTGAAGGCTTAGCCTAATACCAAACATGCCCTCACCCATGTTTTATCTGCAAGCAAACGCTTTCTTTGCGTTGCATACAATTCAATCGCACTGAAAACAGACTCACAAAACGTTTTTGACACAGCGAAAAGCAGCGTTTACACCGTGCGTGTTGGGACTCTTGGTTCACAGGCCGAATTTTGGAGATGCCCCCCAGGGGGGATGCAATCTGGTTTTCAAAGGGGCAGAACCAAAACCAGCAGAACCCTGAGGAAGGAACCCACCCCCCAATCCTGCCTAATCTTGGAAGCTAAGCGGGGTCAGGCCTGGCTGAAATCTGGATGGGTGACTTAAAAGATGAACCACCCAGAAAGTTTCAGCTACAGGCCGTATAGAAGCGTCATGTAGTAATACCAGCATTTTGGGATTTTAGAACAGGGAAAAAACTGCACTGAAGGAGAGACATCAGAGGAGGGAAGAGGAAGGGGTGGATTCGGCCCACAGTCCCAAGTTTCAACAGCCTGGCCCATCTGCCACACCCAGATTTGTAGCCCGTTGTATCCAAGAATATCCCCATCTCCTTTGTGGAACTCCGATCCCCATCCTCAGACTCCGCCAACCTGGTGCCTTCCAGAGGTTTTCAGGCTGCAGTCACATCATCCTTAGACGGAAGGATGGGTTCTGTTGGCTAGAGATGATAGGAACTGAAGTGCAACATATGTGGAGTGCGTGGCCGTTGCAGACGGAGACCATGCCAGCCAAACCAGAGTGAAACTGGTTTATCCTTTTGCAATGTAGACATGCCACAAATTTAAACTGAACTGCATTTGCATGCATGCTGGGGTCATCCTCCAGGCTGTAGCCTTGGATTCTAGCCAAAGGCGGCATGCAAAAATGGATGAAAGCAAAGAGAGCGATTCTAATAATAATAATAATAATAAATAAATCTTTTAACCACATCAGTCTGCAAAAGATTAACCATCTTAACCATGAAGGACAGCAAGGTCAGGGCGGTGCTTTAAGACAAACCTCCTTTTGCTAAAAAAAAAAAAAGGGGGGGGAGAGTGGGGGAAAACCCCCAAATCAATGTACGTAAGAATGTCATAAGGATCTACCATACAATCAAATGAGTTTGGGTTTCTCTAAACCAGTTCTGTGCAACCAGCTTTTTCCAGACTCTTTTTCCCTTTCTTTGCAGGGTGGGGGGGGGATTGGGGGGGGACGCATTCACTCATGCTGAGTAATGAATGCCATATTGTGCAATTAGCACTGATGTGCACTAAATCTAATGCTCATTAGCACAAGTAAAGGACCATCCTGGTTTTTAAAAATCCAGTTCTGTTAATGAGTGAAAGCCTGAGCAAAAGATACCTGTCAATCCATGGGACACGGAACAGAGTTGACCCACACAGGCTGAACGTTTCTGTGTTTGCCCTGGAAGCATTTCTGCCTAGCAGGGGCCACTGGCCCCTAGTCTGCATTCTCAGTGTCCGAGGATGACTGTCCTCTTCCGTCTGCAACCCAGGTAGAGCTCACCTGTGCTCAAACCGGCCTGCATGGAAATTCAGCCATGCTTAGCTTGAGAACTGGGCCCCTTGCTCTCCAAACCTCACTGCTGTACCCCAAAATGCTCATGCCTTCTGAATGAGGTGGGAGACGGAGCAGCCACTCCCTGTGTGGGGCTGGGGGGCAGCATGGAGGGCAATTTGCCCAGGGGCCAGGTGTCCCCCGCACCAAAGTCCTTCCTGGTTCACCCTTCTGGACACCAGCAGTTGGTTAAAGATGACACGATCATGCAAGGACAAGCCCTGGGGGGGGGAACACCTTGTCGGCTTTCGCTCTTAAGCTGAGACCCCAAGCAACGATGGTCTAGGTAGGACTTGGGGGTCCCGCTTGCCAGAAGTGTTAGGATTAAGTGATAACGATCCAAAGAGGTTTTGAGGAAGCGAGAGTGCAAGAACATTTAAAGCCGCTGCAGTGTTGAAGGTAAAACGACCGAACCACTGGATTTCGTCTCCCTGCGCATGCGAGCGGCACATGCTTTTCGTGAGGGACACACCAAGTCGGCCGCTTATTGGCACAGAGGACCAAATGCGCCGGTCGATCCACGGCCAGGCCTTCTGCTCACACGCCAGCTTCCTCTTTAGGAAACGGCAGCGCAAAAGCTCACGGGCAGACAAAGAAGCCTGAAGTGTTTTAATGCCTCCTAAATGGATTAAACTAAGAAGGCCGGGCTGCTTTTCTCCCCACCCCAGGGGTCACTTTCAGATGCATGCAGGCAGCGGAGGTTGGCCACGAATCCCTGCCCTCTCCCCTCGCGTTTCCCTTGCAGACTTCCCGCGAGCTACAAGCGCATGCTTGGCAAGGGAGAGCCAGGGAAGATGGCGGCCCGGGCATCTCCTCCTCCTCCTCACCACTGCCGCCACTGGGAAAGCAGCTTGCAGTGGGGAACACCGAGGGGCAACTGAGGAACAACTCCGGGGGGGTTTGGCAATGGGCGCTGCTGGGGAGCCTCAACGGCAGCCGCGACAAGGATGACCAGGTTCGGTCAGCAAAGACCCCTTTCGCCTTGAGCCCCAGCAGCAGTTTTATTGAAAGATCACCCGGCCCCCCTGCAGTTACCTATGACAGCATGCTACCAAGAAGTGCTTCTCACCGCCAACGACAAGCTGTTAGAGCATACACAGAGTGTTCTATAGGTCCTGAGTCACATGGGCCCGGCAGTTGGGCAGTCGAAGACAAGACAAGACGGGGGAATGTGCTCCCCAGAGAGGTTCGCCTGGTGCCGAGTTCATATTCTTTTCAGCACCGGGTCAAACCTTTTTATTTAATTGTTATTTTAAAATTGAATGTTAATGTCCAACAGTCGCTTTTTATTTCACTTGTACTTTCTGGCTATTTATTCTATTGAGACGGTTGTTCTATTGATTGCAAGCCGCCCTGAGATGCCATGCATGAGGGAGGCAGATAAACGTTTTACATAAATAAACGAAGCAAGAGGAGCAGAGGAGGAGGGGAGGGGTGCACAGAGGGGGCTCCGTGCAACGGCACTTGATCGCAGGACAGCGGCAAAAGGATCGCAGGAGGATTGTGGGTCCCGGCGTGCAAATGAGGGGGATTGCGATGCTGTTAACCTGGCAGCCTGACCGGTTCTTACTGACCGGCAGAACAAGAGCCCGGCAGCTTCTGGGCAACCTATCAGCTCCCATTTCTTAAACCAGCGACAAATGCCCAGCAGTAATCTGGCTTGGAAATTGGGTGTCTTCTGAGAAAGGGGCGCAGATCTGATCTGATAACACAAAGACTCATATAAGCAGCCCTCCTCTGTCCAGCTTTATCTGAATTTTCCCAACAGCACCCACGGAGGTGTGGGATCTCTCCAGGTGCCCCACCTCACCGGCCCTAGACACTGGCATGCGGATCTTTATGCAGGTGGCTGCTCGTTCCATCTTTCTGGAAAGGCGATATGGTCGCAGGATAAGTCTCTGCGCCCTGGGCAAGGCACTCCCCCCGGCATGGCCAAGCCAGGCCTCCGGAACCTTCCGATGGGCCCATGTTGCCCCGAGCCTCTCCCAGCCCGAGTGAACCTTGCAGGCACCTCGGTGCCGCTGCAGGATCCGGCCCAGCCAGGGGCTTTCCAGCAGGGGCATCCAACCTATTTCGGCACGAGGGCCAAACTGAATTCCAGGGAAGCACTAGGGGCACAGCTCCAAGCAGCTCGAAGGCCAGTGGCCATTACTGCTGGTGACCAAGCCATGGAGAGGCATTTCGGCCTTTGACAATGGGAAACCACAAGCACCTCCAGCTTGCCTTGATTCTAGGATCTTACATTCCAGGTTCCAATGGAATATAGAATAAAAGCTGAAGAGGCACCAAACAATCGGCAGAAAGAACACGGAGACAGGAGATCAGGGCACAGCGGCTTAGAAGAGGATTCGACTGAATCTGAGCAGCAAAGGGAGTCTCTCAGAAGCAATTTTGCCACAATAATTAAGCACAGCCTCCTTAATAATCCCAATTTAATAAATGCACAAAAGCAGCATTATCTCTGACTGGGAGCACACAGATCTCCTTGGGGGCATTCCATACTGCCTGGCTTCTTTCTTTCTGCCACCTCATGCACAGAACTGGATTGTTTGTCCTTCCCCAACACAAAACTTACACTTGGGTTGAAAACTGCACACTTGTGCCAATCCCTCCTCCCCAAAATGCATTTTTCCAGCTGTAGCCTATGGAGGAAAAAGCACTTTTTAAGTCGATAATTTCTCCCTGCGTTTGCATAGTTTGTACAACTAAGGTTGTGTACAATTCTGGAAAGTTTTTTTTTAAAAAGAGATCACATGACTCAAGAAAAGCCAGTCCACCACAGAATCTGCAGGCCAGTTTCAGAACACAGGGTCCAACCCTCCTGCGCATGTTCCCCAGTTCCCCTCTGATACTGGGGATTCACTGGGGATTTCTCCCACTTCCCTTGAGGATGCATTGCTAGGAGGA